TTTGGCTGGTGTGAGATTGAGATGTTGGTTTGGTTGTATGGAGATTGATTGTGGTGGAGTAGTAGAAGTAAAAAGTACCTTTGGTATGGTATGGAGTAGTACCTAAGGGAATGTAGGTACCTATTTCTATGTCATCATCTTTGGGGTTGGGGGCTAGCCTGGATTCGGGTTAGGGTGACGGATAGCGACTAGGCCTTTTTAGGGTTAGGGTGGTGGTCTCTGATACAAAGTACGTAGAGAAGTAGTACAAGAGACTCTTAATTTTACTACTAGCCACAATCGAGAAAAGTCTTAAGCTTCTATCTGGTATAAGATGTTGTCACTAGCCTTCCACATGTCTGAAAGTTGAACAGCCGAAGAATGTCTTGCTATGCATTCGATATAGAAGATGTCACCACGGGAGGTACGACGAGCGAATCCCAACTCGGACTCCCCAACAGGCGAGTCGTCTGCTCGGAGATACTCCAAGAGGGTGCTCAGATACCTAGCATAAGTAATTGGCCGTTTCAACTTACAAATGGACCACAAAAGCTTGAATAGATGCGACCTGGTATGTACTGTATAGATTAGGCCTCTCAATGTACTAGCTTTCGTCTTCGACATATATCCTGCATCAGGGAGAAAGATCATCTCGAACCTACTCTTTATATCACTTCACGTTCATCTATGTTGAAATAATGACTGAGTCGTTCCCACTATCCAAGAGAGGATCGTGCTCCGATAACCCTTGCTTCCCCCTCAGCGGCCGCTCGCGATACAGCACAAAGTGCTGAAAGATAAAGATGATATCGAATAGAACGGTGATATTCCCCAGCAGGAGTTTGGCTCCATTGCCGACAGTGCCTGACCAGTCCGCCTGCAATGAGGAGTCCAGCACCAGCTGCATCAGCGACAACGCCGCGCCCGCCAGATCCAGCAGGATCGCTCCGATGGAAAACCCGGCCGTCGACTGTCGCCAGTAATTCATCACCACCTGGGGTGTGTATTTGACGGCCGTTAGGAACACCTTGATCATGCCGACCATGTAGACCTCCATGCGAAATATCTCAGTTAGCGGTTTAGTGGATTTCGTTAGTCGGGGTGCGCTGTCTCACCACGTCAATCCATTCCCACGACGCTGAAACTAGGGCCCACAGAATGGCTAGGGTGACTACCCCCACGCAGCTCCAGATGACTACGAGAGTCGAGACACTTGCCCGCTGTGGCTTGGACTTGAAGTTCCAGAACCGCGCGCAGAGGAAGTGGCTGCTGATCCAGCAGCAGATCAGGGATCCGTGGAGAGCGTATATGAAATCGTTCCATCGGACGGTTGGTTCGGGGCTCTGGGGATGTTGCTGAGCATACTGGGCGCGCACGACCGGCGAAAAGAGGAAACAGGCGTTGAAAATGGTGTATGCGGTTAATCCAAGGAGGTTGAGCAGGGCAAAGTCGACGGAGAAGCCCTCCGTCGAGCGGCGACGGTGGTTATGCAGGACTTGCGGGTAGAAGGACAGGGACCACAGGACGAAATAGGCCCAGCCCAAGACTTGGGAGATGCTTTGTGTCCAGGTGTTGTTCAACATGGAGGGCTCAACATGAACTGAATTTAGTCCTCGATTGAGATTGAAGAAGAAGAAAAAGCGAGGCGATTGCAGCTTGGGGGGAAATATCAGCATGTTCGGAATAGACCCGGAGTTCGGAATTCAGCAACATGATATCGAACATTTCACGAGGTGGACGGTTGATCAACGACACAGCAGAGAACAAGGATAAGGATTGAAAAGGGTTCAATGATCCATATGGCCATCACACGGTCAGAATGCTGTGGCTGGCTAGTATCTTGTTGCTGAGAGGGCGACCCGATGAAAGGAGTCAGTAGTCCCCCGCGGTTTAGAGCCCGGTTGGCTTATATCATACAGAGGTGCCTATATTACCTTGCACACTCTCTTATACTCAGTACTACACCTTGACTGTCCCACGAACTAAATATATTTCCTTCTTCTAAGATATCTCGTTATCAGATTAAGATATCCAGCCAGTATTAAACCATTCAACGTGACATAAGGCATTGACGAACAGCTGATAAGGAAGACGAAGAAAAATAAATCAAGAGTGACAGAGACAGAGAAACAAATTTATATCTCTACGATACGGCAATTGCCCTCCGCAATTCCTCCGCATGGCTCTCCTCCCAAGGATACTGCTTCTCACCAGCCCGAATCAGCTCCTCATGACCTGCACTACGAGGCTTAATGTCGACATCAAATGGATCAGGATGACTGATGAGCATGGGCTTGAACTCTGGCTGGATATCCACCTCCTTGCCGTTGCGAATGGGCTTGGCTATGTTGAAGGCAGCCAAAGTGCGAGCGATAGTAAGCCATAGATTTGAGTCTGCTAGATTTCGTCCGGGACACACCCGACGCCCAAACCCGAAGGAGATGAAATGGGGATCATGCTCAGGCGTGTGGCCGTTGTCACTCAGGAAACGCTCAGGCTTGAAGGTCATTGGGTCGTGGTATTCGTTGGGGTCATGGGCGAACCCCCTACGGTGAAGTTTAGTAAGTAAAAGAAAGAACGGATACGAAATCTAACACACCATATATTGGCCAATATAATTGCCCCCTTGGGGATATGATATCCCTCAAGCATATCATCTTCGGTAGACATGTGGGCGACACCCATGGGAGCAATGGGATGCCAACGGAGGGCCTCCTTAAGGACAGCATCGATGTATGGAAGGTTCTCGCGGTCCTCAAACCCGGGCAGACGTGATGTTCCGACGACCCGGTCGATTTCCTCTTGTGCTTTGCGTTGTACATGCGGATATAAGGCCATTGTCAGGAAGACACACATCATCGTGGAGACTGTCTATATGCTTATCAGAATCTCAAGGTACTTGAAACAGTTGGTGGCCATTCGTTACTTACTGTATCTGACCCGCCACCGTAAAGAGTGCCAGTAGCCCACTTCACAAGATGCTCCTCTTCCGAGCCCGGCTGGATATTCTCTCCTTCTAGATAGTACGAAAGGATGGACGGCTCATTGCACCCTCGGGCCATTTGCTGCTTTGTGAACGCATACGGGACCTCAACTAGATCATTGGCAGCCGTTCGAAAACTCTCGGCTACTCGTGTGCAGCCTCCGCCTGGTGCCCAGGAAGGGAAGTATCTCACTATGAACATACCGTGTTAGCACCCCACTGTGCAGCCAAATTGCAAACAAGACTCACGAATAGGAATAGAATCCACCAGCCAAGTCCCTGGAACCATCGCCGAAGAAAATTTCCCAATGGCGTCGTCCGCAAGATCAACCAGAGGGTCACGCGCATGGGGTTCAACGGTGTATCCGTAAGTGATTTTCAATATAACCGCACCTGTCTCCCTGACGACAAGTTATTCTACCATCCCTCTGGCTTGGAAAGAGACCTACTTCCTGAGATGATCGATCCAGTTCTCGGGGTCCCGAAGCAGCCTCAAAAGATACCGACAAACCTCCGCATCCTGGATGTGATTGAACCGGGAGATAGCCCTATTGGAGCCGATCTGCTGGTGTGCCACTTTACGTGAGGTACGAAATCGGTCAGAGTACTCGAGAACGGTCATGATGTCGCCGAAGCCGGCCCTTCTTTATCAGCCACGTAACTTGTGCACAGTGGAAGAATGCTGCTTACATGCGGGCAAAGGTGCATGGTGGTCGAGACGAGTGTATGGCAGACCGCTTCTCCAAGAGTTCATATGCCAGACGCGCTTCGTTTAGGACGATGATTGTTTGACCGAAGGTGGTGACGGAGCTAATTGGGCCTTTTGAGGGTTCTTTCTTAGTTCTTGGATCTTTGCAACATGCCGACGCTGAGAGTAAGTACCATAGAGATCTTTGTGCTTTAACCAGTGCAACCAGTCCCGAGTGCCCTGCGATGGAAGATCCCATAGATTCCCAATAATCGGTTTTGGCTGGGGACCAGGAGGGAGTGGCCCAAGCGCCTTCTTTTTAGCTAAGAAAGATCTCAGAAAATAAAGACATATGATGCCGCTGACGAGGCCAAGAATTATAGAAGACATATCCTGCTATCGCGTCTACACAGCAAATACAGAAGATTAAGAGAAAGCATGGGAGCATCCAAAGCAACCTAAGTTCCTTATAAGGAAAAAAAAGTCCAAGAGGGGCAACGACCTCTGGCGACAAGTCTATATCTGAGACTCTTAAGGCGCTAGGTGCAGCTACTCTGCAGAGAAACTACTAGTACTAGTAGGGTTGCATTAATAAATGGCGCTTGCCACTGGTCCGAGTTTGGGCCGGTGCAAGGGTATAGGACAGGGATGAACAACCTCACCTTCTTCTGACAAAAGTACCGGCTCGCTTACGGGGCTTGTGGGTTCTAAACAAGACATTATAGCCGAGGGATATCGCACCTGTTTTACTAGGCACTTTTTTCTCGGTGTGTCGTGACTGATTTGGTTTCTTACATGGTCTGTCGTTCCTTGTTCGTCTGTGCATACGGCTTTGTCAGTCACTTATATTTTTGTTGTGCAGAATTTTGAAAATACTGTTATCATTCAGTTAGTGTAACATTATAATGTACAATGAAGAATTAGGCCTTTATCCATGAGACAACCCTCTGGAAGATGGTTGGTCGAGGTAGTTTGAACTCGACTTGCACCAGGTGAGGGAAACATAGTATCGGTGTGGACACTACACCGACGTCAACGACTTCTTATAACGCCTCTAGTTCTATTATAGTATATTTTAGATTGAGGATTTCTATTTATTCTTAGCAAAATATACTCATTCGTTCTCTTCTTAGGGACTTTATTTAGCAAGTTCCTATTAGGGCTAAATACTATTCTCGAATCTCCACTCGACAAGCTGTCCTGTACTCAACTATAAGAACCACACTCTTTTCTAGGCAGGTTGGGACAATGCCTTTGTCTTTACCTAAGAGTACAGAAACGTTCACTGATAGGAAAAGCCTATGCCAAGACAAGAAAAGACTTATCAAGATGAAGCAGTGCAACAGGCCTGTATTGGCAGTGTAATACACCTATACAACTAGATCCATGAAAGCCTACCACTGGGATACTCAGCGTGAAAGCCGATATCTCATATCTAACGGTTATGAGGACTCCTATTCTTGTTTACCGGGCGTAGACGGCCATCTTACGTTTTAACACTATAGTCATAGTGTTTAGTAGCAACCTCTCGCATTAGGGCTAATCACGTCTCTGTTAGCATAGATCGAGGAACAATTCTCAAGTGAAACAACAATTGTGTTTAATAAAACAAATTTTAATATACTATAATTAACCACAGTGTTTGGTTGAATCAACGATTCTAACTACAACAAGGTATGATGATGTATGATTATTGAAAAATAACAAAAAAAATGTGGTGTGAGCCCCACCCGATTTGAACGGATAACCTTTCGATCTGGAGTCGCTGTGACGATGTTAGAATAAATTCTCAAGACTTGGCTTGATTAAGTGGGAACTTACAACGCGCTACCGTTGCGCCAGAGGCCCATTGGATTAGTAAGTCTTTCAGGTACCACGTTATACATACCTTTTATAACATCAAAAATTCTTCCTATGGGATGACCTACCATGAGGAATCTCGTCTGCATACTTGCTTTTTCTGGTAAAAAATTGAATTATTTATCTTCTGTCTGCTTTATTTTCTCGTCTTTTATCCAGTAGCATAGGCTATTAATCGAATATAACACCCTAAAGAGCGAGGTTATCTGGATAAACTCTGAATGCCGATGAATGAATTCCGAACCCAAGAATAGCCCTAAAATATCATGTCAGCCCCCGCCCCTTCTTTCTTTCCTCTATTCAACTACTATGTTAGAAGTAGCTCCAAGCCATGAGAATAATTAGTTAGAGATGAACTCCCGTCGTCGCAATGGAAAACCCGCTTCCTGCGAACCCTGCCGCAAGGAAAAAGTCCGTTGTGATCATCGCCTCCCAGTCTGTTCTCGTTGTCAGAAGAAACGCCGGACAGCCAGCTGCTTCTATCACCCAGCACCATTGACGCAGAGATCAAAGAACATCACTGTAAAAGACATCTTATCTGGCGCTGGGCGCACGCATTCTCTCCCTCCTTCAACTCTGGAGCAAGATGACTCTGGTTCTAGGCCGTTGCGTGCCGGACCAGCGTCCACGCCGATTTCGACATTTTCGAATACCGAGGACGATAGGCTGAATATGCTGATCACTTCCCGCTCCTTGCCCACTGGCTACTTAGGTCCGACCAGCTTTGTCGCAGCATTGGAAGAGGACCACGAGCTTGTTTCTAGTCCCAGTGATCGACGGTTACAGGACGACGCAGGAACCGCATTCCCATCGGAATTGCCCTTGTACTGGATACAGCGAACAGCAGAAATACTACGATGCTTGCAGGATTTTCCAACCATTAAACAAATAGTCTGTGAATACTACGGACTAAGCAAGGCGGCCGTCATACCATCGCTCCTTCTTAACGCACTACCTTCAATACAGGTTACGATTGAGGAAGCACAACTGCATAAAAGCCCACCAGAACAAGTCGCGCGGGTTCTTCAGAACACAAAGCATGTGCTCCCCATATCGTCGACTACGACAGGAAGTCATTTCCATGAGCTTTTTACAGGGTCCAATTTACGCCTGGAGATCTTCGGCGTTCTCTATGCGATAGCTGGCCGACTTAGTATTTTCGGCCTGGCTCACGATAGATTCCCCAGACTGAATGGAATGGCAGCTCGTGAACGGTTCTCTCGGAAGATGCTGGCGGCTAGTGATGCGGTGCTGCAGATTTGCCAACTCATTGCCCCAGTCAACGATCTAACGATATGGATGCTGTATGAAATTCTACTATTGTCAAAGGTGGCAGATGGTGATACGAGTGAGTAAATCACCTCACGATACCGAAAGCAACTACAAGCTTGGAGAATGGTTGTTTAATATGTACCAGGCTCCGCAAAGTGGCGCAGGCTCGGGGACCTGTCAACCCATGTATTCGAGCTGGGGTTGCACAGAGACTCCCAACAGTCAAACTCTCTTCCAGTATTTCTTGTCGAGACTCGCCGCAGGCTCTTTGCAGCGGCATATCAACTCGACAAGAGCATTGCGACGTTCCTTGGCAGACCACCGCGGATCTCATTAAGGCATTCAGACTGTCGACTGCCTCTTGATCTCCATGATACCTCGTTGGAGGCAGGTCAGTCGGACATGGAATTGGCCTTGCAGGGCTTGGACAGCGATGGATGGAATACCCAAGGTAGCCTTCATCGATCTACCTTTCTTCGGCAACGATTCCTAGTCAGTACCTTTCGCGAAGAGATTCTGGAAGTCTCACTACAGACCCAAAACCGCGGGACAGCCGAAAAGCTGAGGTGAGTCACTGCATATATCCCCCTAGATAATTCCAAGCTCATAGAACTCTGTTATTGGATCAAAAGGGATATTTCTGTGCGTTGTAATCAAACATGGGATTCAATGCCGAAGCAGTTGCACTACAGCCCAGATTCTCGGGATGAAAACATGTCCAACACGACGCGTATGATGCTTATTGTATCCTACCTCGCATACCTTTACAACGACTTCCTCATTCAAAGGCTCCTTGTTCAGCAGGACCCGAAGGCCTATTCTGCTTTACTCGATGTGAGCTCAACCATCTTGTCGACCGTTTTAGATTTCTGCGCCATGCGAGAAGATATGATAGACCTTCGGCCAGACTTCATGTGGACAGTTCGTACCACCTTTCCAGATACTTTGTAAATGAAGCTAACTCAGATTCAGAACCTCCTGTACGGCTTCCCCAGTGCCGCGGTTCTGATAAAGGCGCTCCAGAAACAAGCTCGCACCGGTCGACCAATCCCCTATCAGGCTCGCGATCTGAATTGATCCGCCATCTGAGCGTTTTTATCTCGCATTTAGAGTCGATGGCCCGGCCGGGCGTTGCGAACCAGGAGCTCTTTCACCGCGCTAGTAAAATATTCTCCAGCATCATCGACGAGGTTTTGGAGCCGCGTGTCGCGGTAACTCTCCCCGGGCCTGAAATAGATATATTGGCGGATTCGGGGACGTGCATGGTCGAAAATGATGATTTGGATTTCTTGGATATGCTGGAGTTTGGAGGATCGATTGATCAGTATGTTATCTTCTGAAGATGTATGCAATGCCCGAGGTACTCGAGCTGCGTAATGTAAGGTGAGGAGAGACATGTATCAGACTGTTGCTCATACTGTCTTTTATATGTTTCATTTGACCTAAATATGACGCAGACTACGTCTGATTTAACTAAAATATATTATTCCAGATTCCGAACTCCGGGATCGTGATTATGAATCTACTCCAATTTGTATACACCGAGTCATAGTCTATCTTCCTCCGGGACCCTAGATCGACACCGAGAGAATTATTATTATACATTAGTTTCGTATATATGTGTCATCGTCATAATTAACCCAAAAAATCATCAACACAAGTCCGTATCCTCATAGTATGCATCGCTATGCCGCTGATAAGAAAATAATCACTTCAAGTTATCAATGCAGCCAAACGTAGCCAGGCATCCCGGTATATCAGGATCACAACGCCTAGCGTCGACCTCAACACCATATCCCAAAGACAATCACGCAGAAAACCACCTACAAGAATCAGCCCTCCACCCAACCCAGGAAGAAAAAAGAGAAGAAAACTCACCCAAACGACCCCCACAACAAATAAACCACCAAAAAGAACCCCCCAAGAACCAAAACCTCATTCCCATACACCAGAACCACCCCAACACCGCCCTTCCCCTTCAGCCAACCCGGAACCAAATCCGCCTGACACGTCCTGCCCCCGACCACCAAACAACCCCCGGCCCGCCGCGGACACTCCAGATGCCGTCGTCTGCGCTCCATGATGCGGCGGATGCGCAGGTTACAGAACGCCTCGTCGGTGCGGAAGGAGCACTTCTCCATGGGACATTCAAGCTTGCGCTCGAAGCGCTCGACGAACCAGTCGACTTTGAGGTGGACACCGGTGTAGACGAGGGCGTAGAAGTGGCGCGAGGTGTGTTTTAGGGCCAGGGCGTCGGGGTAGGGGAGGTAGGATGAGATGTGGAGGTGGAGCTCTGTGGGGAGGGAGGTGAGGGATTGGCTTTGTTTCTGGGGTGGGGTTTCGTCCATTGTTGGTTGTGTTGGTATATAGATGTAGATGTTGATATTGAGGTTGTGAAGGGTGATGGTTGGATACGCGGTTTAAATAGGGTTCCGTTGCGCGGTATATGGATACGGTGTTGGTTGCCTAACGCGTCGAAACAGGCCACCGTGGCTGGTATATAAATAGCGGAGTATGTGGTGGAGGTTTCGGGGAATACGAGGCTTTTTATCTCTAGTTTCTGGGTATTGTTTTAGGATTTGGATCTAGTGATCGTCGATAGGGTTGCGGCGATGTGTCAGACGAGGCTCTCCAGCATGGCGGAGGCGCAGCACTGCCACAGTCGAGCTATGACAACATCGTAGAGCTGAAGAGTAAGATTTTTATTTTGCTAGGTTGGATTGTGTAAGTTATTAGAGTGCTTGAGCGTAGAAATAATAGGAACGTCTTACTCTTAAATTCAGGTACGGTGTGGCCCAGGGATGTAGATCCTTGCTGCTGGAGTGATTTGGCTTTCCTGAAACCTTGATGATCCAACCAACGATGTACATGTGTACATTGTTTTAACTGTAATTAGGGCTCTGAGAGGAATATCCATTATGATCCTTGAACGTATTCCCAAGAAAATATGCCGATTAGAGCCTGTTGAACGTCGCATTCGCTAGGATATATCTTTGCGCAAGGAGCTACCGTTCACGACAGGGAAGGCTGCGCTAATGCCATCGCTATATAAAAGATCGATAGCGGCTGAAAGCTTCCATACTAACCAGTCAAGCTACACCATATACCCAGTAAGATCCAGGAGTGTCAGCAATGAATCAGTCCTCCTTGCATCTGTCATTCTGCCTTCGACTTGGTCATGTGCTGCCCACCTGTTCTCTAGATACGCTAGTACGTAAATGGCTAGACTTCTAATTCTAAATCCGGGGCGTCCAGTAACACTAAGCCACATACGGAGTACGTAGCTCTAAGTAAACTGTAAGTTGTAACTATTCAGTCAAACCTCATGAGGCCATCCCACTTGTAATAGATTCAACATCTCGCCAGGACTGCTATGGGATCGCAGGCCATATCAAGCACCAAACCGGTGGCTACCCTTCCACCTCTCAATCTCAGTATGCATTTATAAGTTTCCCATTGCCTCGAGACCTTGAATCAGTGGGGGATACACTCAGCACACTAACGTTTTATAGGGAATAGGAGAGACGTTGAAGAAGCTCTTAACCAGCTTGAATCTAATTCCAATTATCCAGAAGTCTTGTCCGATGGTAAGCTCTGAGTTTAATTCACTTGATAGCTCATCACAATAAGGTATCCGCGATCAAGGCTAATTATCGATTCTCAATATACAGGTCTCTATACGTTACTCGAGCAGCTTAGGAGCTATATTGCCGGTGGCGGCGATCTGAGCCCTCTCTCTACAAATCGCTCTCTATCTATCCTCTGCCACTACAGTTTTAATTGTCCGCGAACAGATACAAGCCATATTGCTTTACGGTGCCTTTGCAACTTATTGTTACTTTCAGAGCAAACAAGACAACTCTTTGTTGATGAAGGATATCCCGGAGCAACCATACAGCTTTTGAAGGTAATCTCCCCAAAAGAAGAAAAATAATATTTATGATACGGACTTAAAATTCCAATTTTCACTTTCTTGCTTCGTCTAGAGCAATGACTTCGACGACGAGTTTCTTTCAGCAAGGCTACTTTTGCTCTGCACCTATGGGACTAACAACTTTGATATTGATGTCCATACAGTCGTAGAAGTTACATACTCTGTAGGTTTGCCACCTTCGATATTGATTAACCATTTTGTTTTGTTGCATGTCAGTACTGAACTATCCGATATAGAAGCTATCGCGACATGCTACACTTGTTGCTGGCACATCCACTGAGCCTCCAACACCGGTGACGATAAATGCCTGCAATGAGGTTTTGAGACTGATTTGTAACATAGCAGCTTCATACCCGAATCAAGCTTCTGAGTTCTCCGTCTGTCTTCCACATATCTTACAACTTCTCCAGACTTTAGATATCCCGTCACCACCCTTACAACCTCCAATATCCTCTCTAATCAACTGCCTTGTTTTCCTCATACCAGAATATACGTGGGATTCTTCGTCTACGCTAATCAGTGAAGTTCACCTGAATCGATTGGTGGATATACTTGACAACGCCACTAGAGTATACAGCGATGAAGACCTGGACCGATACGGCTCACCCCTTGTGCAAGCTCTTCTCCTCATCTCACGAGGCATCTCCGCTAAGCTCAAAACACACCTTCAAGCCCTTGTTTTACCGACAAAGGAAGATCATGAAAGAGTGATTGGTACGAGTGACTCAGTATCAGCAAGACTATTGAGGTGTTCTTCTTCAGTAAGCACAGGTCAACTGAGGCTGCTCATTCCTTCCCTTCTCTTCGAACTATGTGGGAATGACGAAATGCAATTTGTGCGCAATGTTGGGTATGGGTATGCCTCAGGATTTCTACCGCTCCTTAAGAACCAGTTGGCTCTAGGTACTCCTGGCGGCTCAACGGATCATACCAGTGATTCCACGGACCACACCAAAGAAACTGAACAAGTGGCTGGAGAGGAAAGAGGACAGAATATACAGGGTGATAGTAGTGCTACGCCTGCAATAGAAAATATGGTCGAGTATGAAATAAATCCAGTCACTGGGCAAAGAAGAGATATGGAAACTCCACAAAATGCTCCAGAGATGACAATAGAAGAGAAGGAACGTGAAGCAGAAAGGCTCTTCGTTCTCTTTCAAAGGTGGGGTACTCTTCCGTGCCATTTTTTCTTGCTAACTAACAGGTACCAGATTACAAGAGACCGGCGTCATCCAAGTCGAGAACCCATTGATCCAGGCTATACGTGAAGGTAGACTAGAATAATATAGCTAAAGGCTCTGGCGCTGGCATGCCTTGACGCTAAATTGAGAGACCTCGATAAACCTGGATCTGTTATGAAATGATGGAACCGTATATCAGAACAAGAATATGAAATACATAATGGACGGACATTTAATCCCTACTATGGATATGTTTCATGTTGTTACTCTTTATAGGAACCTTTGGTTTCGTGGAGCTACGAAATACTGTGAGCTAGTACAGGTTATCGGCTGGACCCGGTACGACTGAGTGTTCATTTAGGGTTAAACCAAACCCACGATCCATGATACTTCGCAACATGGAGCCTCGTCCTGCAGCTCGGACGGACGTCCAAAGGTTGAGACGTTTATGTTGAAACTCATAAGACGTGAACATCATTCTCAAGATGCCCGATATACTGGGGTACTCGGAGTATTTCCGTTAAAACCCTACCCCGCAATATTGTGGCAGGATCTTCCGGGGAGTTGGAGAAGCAGCGGATTTATACCACAGGCTATATGCGAGGATGCACCTAAGACAGATACTAACCCGGTTGATAATCAGATTTCCCCACGGGGCCCACGATATGACATAGTCCCCGCTTCTTGGTTACTTGTTGCTTGCTGCACGTCCGTGCAGATCCAATCGGTTGCCTCCATTATGCTCCATCCTCGAAGCAAGGAGATGGATGCCACGCAATCCACCATCAAGAATGCATAAAGACGATCACCAAACAAGCTAGACTCTTCAAATTTTGGGCAGATGCAAAGGCGATGGACTATAAGTACAACCCACCGCACTCTTCTATCAACTACTGGGCTTACTTCCTAGTACACATAAAGCCTAATCTGCGTTATGGCGATTGTTACTGAGATAACCAATGCCAGCCCAACTACCGTTCTCATGGGCTTGGCTGCAGCTCTCATATGCACATATATTATCTACTGGCGTTATCTCCATCCTCTCTCCATGTATCCAGGGCCCTTCCTGGCGTCCTTGACAGACCTCTGGCAAGTTAATCAATTTCTGACTTTGCAACAACCATACCATCTGACAGAGCTTCATGACAAATATGGTCCCGTGGTTCGCTATGGGCCGGACAAAATCAGTATCACTGAGGAGAGCGCTATCCAGGCCATTTACCAGAAAGGCTCGAGACTGATGCCGAAGACCGAGTTTTATGACGCATATGGCGCGGCGGAGCCAAATGTATTCGGCATGCGCAATGAAGCGGTAGGGAGCCCCGGGCAGCTGCTTACTGATACTACGCTGTGCTAATTACATGGCTTAGATACACTCTATAAGAAGGCGTCATATGTCCCATAGCTTCTCCTTGAGCTACGTCAAGGAAATGGAACCCTACCTTGACTTGAACATCCAAATTCTGAAAGAAAAGATCAGACGTCATTGCCACCAAGGGGATGTGTTCGATCTCAAGAAGGCTCTGCATCATTACGTAGTTGATACCTTGGGTGAGCTGGCGTTCAGCCAGTCCTTTGGCGTCCAGGAAGCCGATAACGAATCCCTGGTTCCCGGTGGTGGAACATAGTCTCCTTGCTGCTGTGACCGGTGCATGGCCTATAATGACCAAGACGTTGAAGCGGATTCTGCCCGTTGTGCCGCACAATGGCCTCCAACGATTGATTTGTGGACGCAAAGCCTGTGCAGACCTAGCATGAAGTTGTGTCAAGCGCAGACTCCAGCATCTACATGGTGGTAATGCAACGGCCGACGTCACTGAAAGAAAGGATATCCTCACAAACCTGATCCTAGCAAAAGACCCTGATACAGGTGCGAGACTCACGCAAACTGATCTCGAGACTGAGGCTTTTGGGTTCATGTAGGTCTGCCTCGAAGAGTGTCCATGCGTTGCTGACACGAGTTCCAGAATTGCCGGGACGCACACGACTAGCGCCACTACGTCGTTATTGTTCTATCATCTTCTCCATAATCCGGCATTCTTAGAAGAATTGGTTAAGGAAATTGACGGCAATCTTCCTCGACTAGACGAAGGAACAGCGGCGTACTCCATTGCTGACGCTGAGACCTCATTACCATTTCTCCGAAATTGCATGCGTGAGAACTTTCGCATCACACCAGTCTTCACAATGCCTCTAGCACGGCACGTAATAGCTCCAGAGGGAGTACTGATTGCCGGACATCATTTACCACAAGGGGTAGGTGACCTATTTTCATGGTTGAAAAAATCTTAGTTAGCTCATCCATCGAATTCTAGACTTCAGTTGCTGTCTGCAACCATGCGTTCCACCATAACCCAAGCGTATGGGGCGAGGACCACAATCAATTTGACCCCCACCGGTGGGACAAAGACGACGTCGCCGCTAAAGCGCGGTACCTGATGCATTTCGGCTTGGGCGGACGCCAATGCATTGGGAAGACCGTTGCGACAGCCAACATCTACAAGTTGATGAGCACGTTACTGGCAGAGTTCAAGTTTGAGCTAGCCAATGAGCAAGAGCGTGCGGATGCCCGTAATGGACTATATAGCGGGAAGATTCCGGAATTAATTAGTGTGGGCATAAGTGACCTCAAGGAGCCTTTGCTTGTAAGAGCTTCTCTGAGAGCAGCGAAGTAGCTCGCAGGAAGCGTTATGATAGAAAACTAATCTAGTTGAACACAAAATGAAGACGTTGCAATTGGACACAATGAATTTAACTCGCAATCAACACTGGCCACCTGCCTAGAATAATCAGCAGCCCATATGTAAACGACCGTCACAACAAACGTATCCTCCCCATCGATCCCCAAAGTTCCCCGCGCCTGTCGATTTACCGGAGGCACGTATCATCAGGGTACGCCCTGAAAACACCACGTTAGCTAACGGTCTCTCTTGTGTTTGCGATAAAACTCACACTGCCCACCACCCATCATTAGTCTCATCATGACCGCCACGGCTGCAACTATCCACGATTTTCTTGAATATCTTCTTGCACCGGTCAATCGAAAGGTTCAGATCATGTGAAGCGTCATTCATTATCCATAAATTGACGTTCTTCGGACTCGCATCGACCTCAAGACACTGCTGCCTCTCTGTCCTCGGGGTCCATGTGGAAGGGGCAAGATTATTGCAGTATTTGTCGATTCCGTGCGCGGCTGCACTTCTTGCCCCTTCGGTCTTCCATATATCGAACCCTGACTCGTAACAGTTCGGTGCACCGAAGACAAGGCTAGGAATTGCAAGTACGGTGGCGAGAACGGGGAGAGCTTGAAAGCGCATATTGACTGAAAAAGTTGGCTTGAAAGAAAAGAAGCAAGAGAAGACTGTGAGTTGTTGCTGAGGAAAGTGAGTATGGCTAGGACAATGTGGACGGTCAGGAGGGGGGTTTTTATATCTTTTTTCCTTGAGAACTGCAAGTAGTGTTATCCAAGTCCACAGCCCAGCAGCTGAGTAGACACAAACCAGCACAAGGACTTGATCATCGACCATCCCCCAAAACACAGCCCGTATACTCCGAAGTAGGAAGATGATGGTCCTGCCAAGGCACTATAGATTGGGGCGGGGAGGCCTTATCCCCTCGCAGGAACACGCCAATATTCAGATACTACGGAGTAATAGGCTTGATATGGTCCGAGACCTGCTTGGCATAGCAATCAGGCTGAAATGATCTACATCGGTTAACCCTAGAGGCTCCACTTCGGCATTAAAATAACTATTCAATGTCGGGGGCCTTTCATCACGCCAGTCCAGGCGCCCTAACTAATTAATTGCCGAAGCGACAATTACTCCGGCTATGAGGAATTCACAACGCTTCATATTTGGAATCTTGCACGAAGCGAGCAGGACGCCTGAAGCCCTCTGAATATCAAACTAGCCTGAAGAATATCCAGGAAGTCTTTTTTCCCTTGGACTGAAATAATGGGGTATGTGGAAAGAATATGGCTATTTTGGTAGTAGAATAGCAAAGATATCAATATTTGGTTCTTATCCCTCTGCTCTAGGGATCCAATATCAGATATAATGGCTTATGGATGAGAAATAGGACCTCTTAGATTGCCAAGAGCTGGGATAATCCTACATACAGGGCCAGCATCCTACTTCTTGCTATCTGGTTGTTGAACATTGCCTATCAAATACTCCGGATCTTCAAGCGTCACTACATATCAAGTAAGGCTCCGTGGAGTGCTTGCATATTAGTACATCACAAAGTAGACATAGCCCCTCTGATTCCACAAGTCATGCGCTGGGCTTGACGACTTAGGGGTCGAATACAAAGAGTGTGTTTTAACTCCTGGTCAACAACTAGAGACATACTAGCCCTGGAAAGTTATATCGTCATGCTTCCAAAAACGGCCAGTGCGCACATAGACAGGTGCCCAACACGTAGGTAGAAGGCTCTCTCTCTGTTTGCTTAAACCAGACGAACCCTCTTTCACAACCTCTTCCAGTTGCACTTCTTCCATATCCACTAGAGCAGCGCTCCCAGATGGTATAGCCTGGTTCTTACCATGAATTTGCCTCACTGTTGATTCCCGAGACCTCACTACTTCAAAAAGAAATATATGGGGGGGTAGACAGAGACATTTCGAATGAATGAGGCGCAAACTAACGCACCAGCAACACTCAACACTAGGTCTACAACCCAAATTATCCTTATAGCCACTACTCCCCTCGCCGTCAATAAAAGATTGCTGCGGGGATTTACATGTCCGCTGATACTGACCAGCTACAATAGCCCAACCCCGAGATTGAAATTGCATCCCCAGTGGCGGATGATGGGAATTGGAAACGAATCATGCCAAGGAGATATTCCAGCCTATCCCAGAAGATAACGTTAGCGATCTATGTTCGCAAATGAGGACAGCCCAGCACAAACTGTACTCCCCGTGCGCTTGAAAGCAGCAAAAAGAAGTTGAAAATAATGGCTCTTTTATGGCTTTCTCAATAGGCCTCACAATATGACCAGTCTTTGATCTCTAATACCTGTGACGACATGCTCGACAGAATCAGATACATGTTCTTGTGGATGAGAAACACGAGCTCTTAGACTGCCAAGAGCTGAACGCTGCATGTGCAAGATGCATGAATCCTTGTCTTGACAGGCAAGGAACAACGATAGCTATCGCTTCCTTAAACCTGGTATAACCCTTGTCGTCTTGTCAGGCCCACTTGGAAATCAAGGAAGTGCTTGCTTGCCACTCTTTAGTAAGACTCAATTGCGTGCTATAACTGTTCATTTCCCTCTACTCCGAAGTTCAATGCAACCCTACTCGAATATTATGACTCGGAATAAGACATTTGCGCCACGCCCCCACAGTGCTATGTCATACCTCGCTTTGTTCAATTAGCATCTGCAGGGCTATGCATAGATCAAAGGTATTCCCTCTGCTTTTCTAACGTTATTTACTTGTGTTGCCTCCCTTGCCACGAACGCTGAAACGAAGATAAAGACCCCTTAGAAACCTGAAATTGGCTAGCTCAGTGAAAGTGAGTCCTCTCTATCTCTCATTTGTGTATAGCCACTTGAAAATAATTGGGCGTCAGGCAATAGGTGTCTAGGGCATCAGTTCCGTGCTGACAATCTACCGCGATTCGCAGTCCCCGAGATCCCTGCGTAGATATCAATGCCGTTGCAGGAAAAAACGTCATACTATACACAAAGAGATGTCTAGCCTCATAATATTCCTACATGATTGGGTGTGTGAGCGCCATCGATATGCCACGAGCTCCCTGTCAATCTGTCCCACTGCTTCCAACGCTCTCACTGCTAGCCATTTCGCAACGACCCAATGCTTGTCTAGGTATCCAATCATCCGATGTAAAGTCCAAGTTCTGCAATGGCAGTTCCACAGTGACAGAGTATAATCGCCACTGATTATGATTTCTCCACTTCGTATAGCCCCAGGCAAAGAAAAGCCAGTTGTCTGAGAGGGCGCAAGAGCAATATAAGTACTGGGTAGTCCTCCTGGAATCCACCATACCAGTCCAACTCCTCTATCATCGATTCTAGTCATTCGCAATAGCAGCCGTTGTCACAATGTCTGACCACGGCGACCTCACTCACCAAGCCATCAGCTCCTATTTCATAGGCCCTCAGGCCGAGAATATGAAGTACTTCAAGGACAACATATCCACAATCCTCCAAGAGCTAGAAGATGCCCGCAAGAGATACAAATTCAAAGGCGACCAGGTACCATACCTCTCTCCGGACAAAGATCACCAAGCCAAAGCTCATTAGCTGTAGAATTTCATCACATCTAGCATCCAAAGTTCCGAGGAATTCCAGCGCATTACACGGAACTTCGCTCAAGCGGTGAAAAAGGCTGCCAAATTGATGGGCTCCCACTCGATTCCGTTCTGGAATCCTCGTTACCAGGCTCACATGTGCACTGACTTGAGCATGCCAGCGCTTCTGGGTTACTTCATGACCATGGTTTATAACCCTAATAATGTTGCGCTGGAGGCTAGTCCTCTCACCACGGTGGCGGAAATGGAGGTCGGGGAGCAGCTGTGCCATCTGTTTGGGTATAATATTGATCCTTCGAGGAAAGGTGTACCCACTGGCTGGGGCCATGTCACTTCTGGTGGAACTGTGGCCAACCTGGAGTCCATTTGGGTGGCTAGGAATCTGAAGTTTTATCCGTTGGCTCTTCGCAAAGCTATGAGTGAGACTGTTGCTGTGAATGGACGGGAGAAGAGAGGACCGTTGAATTTCGTGGCTGACAGATTCATGGTAACCACTTGTAAAGGCGAAAGGAAGCCGTTTGCAGATCTGTCTACGTGGGAACTGCTCAATCTGAGGCCGAATACGGTGCTAGATCTGCCACAGGAATTGCATGAACAGTTCGGCATCTCGCCCAAATTTGTGGAATCCGCCTTGCAGGATTTCAGCATACAGTCAACGGGCAAAGACGCTCTGGAAAGAGAATTCGAGGTCAGACAACCAATCAAGTATTTCCTTTCGAATACCAGGCACTACTCTTGGCCCAAGGGCGGAGGTGAGCTACTCCATATGTAGACTTTTATCGATAGCAGCAGTCACTAACAGCCACAGCAATAACTGGCCTTGGGTCGGATGCGTTTGAGGGCATTGAGGTTGATGATGCTGCGCGTATTAATCTCCACGTGCTTCAAGAGCGCCTGCAGCAGTGCCTTGACGAGGGCCAGGCGGTTTATGCCGTTGTGGCTATCATTGGCTCAACTGAAGAAGGGGCTGTTGATCGGTTAAGTGCCATTCTAGCCATGCGTCAGCGCTTCCAGTCAAAAGGGCTGTCATTCCTCGTCCATGCTGACGCTGCGTGGGGAGGCTACTTTGCCACAATGCTTCCACGGAACTTGTATGACATGCCACGGGGACCAAGCGTGAGCAATCCGGAGGATAGCTTTGATGGTGGTGCAGAGGGCTTTGTTCCAGACCTGAGCTTGAAGCTGGAAACTCAAGAAGACCTTCTCGCACTGAAATACGCGGATTCCATCACTGTGGACCCGCATAAGGCAGGATATATCCCATACCCCAGTGGGAGCTTAGTGTACCGTGATGGAAGAATGAGATATCTCGTCACTTGGACCGCTCCAGTGCTCTCTCAGGGTTCAGAGACCGGAATGGGGATCTACGGTGTTGAGGGCAGGTATGTTCATGCAAGGCCAGTGACTTCACATTTCCAGGGAGCTGATAGATAGTAGTAAGCCTGGTGCTGCAGCCATGTCAACCTGGCTCTCTAACAAGTGTATCGGGCTCAATCCCCAAGGATACGGCGCTCTACTCAGTGAAGTATCCTTCACATGTACCAGAGTAGGTCCCTACCTTTACAAGTATCCGGTAATTCATATAAGGCTAATTAATATCAGCTCTCAGCACACTGGGCTGCCATGACCACGAAAGACGATGACTACTTCATGTGCGTTCCATTTCACAAGCTCCCCTCAGAATGGAAGGACCCCTTCAACGAGCAGGCGGTAGAAGAGGAAAAGGAACGAATCCGTCGGGAAATCCTCCCAAAAAGTAATCGCGACATTGTTGAGAGCGACGTAGGCAAACCAACGGAGGAAAAGCTCATGACACTTCTCCGAGGCCTCGGTTCAGACCTGAATATTAACGCCTTTGCACTTAACTGGCGGTATGATGACAAGGACAGAACCTGGAATACTGACATAGAAGAAGCCAACTATCTCACAAGACATGTCGTTGAGCGCCTCTCTATCTGTTCGCCAGACCAGGACCCCACCAAAATCCCGTTCTATTTGACGTCGACTGAGTTCACCAACGAGCTATATGGCAAGTGTGCCAAGGAGTTTAAAAGAAGACTCGGTCTTCCACAGTGCGATCGACCGCTTTTTGTACTAAGAAATGTTGTCATGAGCCCATTCCCCACCGACAACGATTTTATTAGTACGATGGTGGACTACTTCCGCTCAGTGGTCGAAGATGGAGTCAGACTCTGCCGCAAGCGTAATGCAAGAGGCCCGGCTATCCACCGATTTGTGATGCAGGGAACGGACGAGATTTTCTTGGCTTATCAACCGTCGTTCCACTTGGGCAAGCACCGACAACAAATCATTCTGGCCGTGGAGCTTGAAGACCACGCAAAGTCAGACTATGCTGAGATCCGGGAGTCCAATCCCGAAGATCCTATCTTCCTCAAATCATCCGTAGAAATCGATCTCCAGCAGGTGGTGAGTGAATGCGAGCGAGGTAACCCAGTGAGCTTCAAAGGGACCATATATACACACTATGGGTGAGTCCTATGCCCCTCTAGCAGTTACCTGCAGTATGACATCTAACAAACACCATAGTGGTCCGGTCCGCACTTCCACTCCCGTGAGATTGAAGTGTGTGGTCAAGAGCCGCCCTCTCAACTCCGCCAACAGAGAAACAAATTATCCCGAAGATTATATGCCGTTCTACCTCTACGGCTCAGGGAAGCAATGGCACATCTCACACATGCTCCTGCAAGCACCTAATGCTACATTCTCAGCCGGCAATGTGAAACTGGATGATAAACTAGCCTCTTCGCTCAACCGGGATCATGCCGAGAGAGGCGCTATTCTAGCGTTGACAGAGGTTCCTGAAGCTTCCATGCAGCCATTCCCAACGTCCAAAAGTGAGCTGCCAGCATGTTTCTTCTTCCAGGCCCACAAGAAATACAAGGTCAAGGTGTGGGCTGATTCGAAGACTGCATCGGCCGCTGGTCCCGGGCTATTGGAAGGCCTCAGAGAGCCAGTTGAGGGAACTATTACCCTGTCCAAGGAAATACATATTGACCTGGAATGGATTAATAAGGATCCATTCGAGCACGAGGATAGGGTTGGTAAGTGGCGGGATGAGTTCAGTCAGATCGGCAAAAAGCTGGAGAAACGAGCTTACGGTGGTTCGTAATCATAATCTAGAGTCACAGTTGCGTCTGGAGTTAAATTGTATGTCTGCGCTTCCATATATTGGCTACAACATGGCAGGTCGTAGGTATACAGGAACACATAGTAAATAGCACCCTAAACTCCATTTGGATGGTGGCATACTAACGCTATTCCCAAACAAGAAAACTGGTCACAAGATTAGATATATCACGTGGTACGCTGCACTCACCGCTTACCGCCTTTGATAATTTCTGTACCATATCCATCATTCAATCCATCGATGATCTCAATCAAAACGAACCCACCCCAATAGCTACACTATACCCAAAAAGCCACAACCTTGCACCCTCACCCAAGACACCCACAACCAAAATCTAAGAACGAAGAGTATCAAAAGACAAAATGTCCAAACCCACCGCAGCGACATCAGACACCGCCTTCCGCAAAACCTGGGACAGAGAAGAATACGCCAAAAAAGCCGCAGACGAAGAAAGCAAACGCAAAGAAGAATCCAAAGCACGGTATGAAGCCAAGCTACTCGGCAAAAAATGGCACGCGCCGGTCGACTACAGCTCTTTGGAGGCCACGACATCCCGAAAACAGCGACTAGATGTGGCGTCGATGGTGGGCAAGACCACGATTGTGGCGGCTGGGTCAGCGGTGGGCAAGAGAGGCCGGGGAGCCGGTTTCTACTGTGGGGACTGTGATCTTACTTTCAAGGATAACTTGCAGCTTGTGGAGCATTTGAATAGTAAGCAGCATTTGATCGCGACGGGGCAGAGTGGCGAAGTGACAAGGGCTACTGTTGAGGATGTGCGGCAGCGGTTACGGTTGCTTGCACATCAGAAGCGGGTGCGAGAGGAGGAGGAACGGAGGGCTTGGCAGCTTGACCTCGGGGCTAGGCTTCAAGAGAGGGAGGAGCAGGAGGCTAAGGAACGAGAGGAGAAGAGGAGGAAGCGGAATGAGAAGCGGCGCAAAGGTGGAGACGGGATTAAGCAGGAAGAAGACAGCTGGGAGGGTCGGCTGGAATCATCGCATGAATAGGTTCTTTTGGTTCGTTTTGGGACGTGCTGGCTTGTACATGGATGGGTGCTTTATGGTCGATAAAAGTTGCAGTATACCCTCGGCGTTCTGGTTTCGGTCTGGGCATTTTATGGTCCTTCAATTGGATCTCAAATCAAGAAAACACGTTCATATATCGCGCTGTTATTTAGCGAAATTGCATGAAAATAATAGTTGTACCGGTCGTGAAGAGAAAAAAGAAATAAATAAATAAACAAGGATATCCAACGCCCATATTACATGCCTTGACTCCTCCCAGCCAGCCAAATCCCATAAACGAAATTCGAAATCAATCAATGCATTCAATTCCCTCCAGTACTCGCATTGCACGGGCGCCCTCCCTCTCGAATTGCCCGACTAGCCTCTCGCATTCTTGCCTCAATTTCTCCTCCCCGTTCTTGGCTTGCCATTTGATCCATTCTTCAACAGACATCTTTTTCTCCGGGCTTGTCAGATCGCCCTTCACGTCCTTCAGTGCCGAACTTAAATCAACGTTCTCTTTGTCACTGGTTCCAGCAAGGAGAATCTCATCAATATCGATAGGGTTCCACGGGTGGGTCGTGTGCAGGCCCCCGGCATTGGCACTACGCTTCGACGGCGAAGGGGTGTTGGGCGCTAGTGGAATTCGAACTGTCTGTTGTTTGGATGGTGATCCTACCAGGGTCCGCGTTGCAGAGGGCTTCAGAGATGGTGGCTGGTTCTCAGCATCGGAAGACTGCGGCGAAAGGGACGGTGTGCTCTTCGAAGCAGGAAGAGGCGACATATTGCCTTGGTCAGCCGAGTCTGACATTCTATGGTTATCTGAGCCCCGCGATCCTGCAAGTGTCCTAGCAAACTGTTTTTCCTCGGGGATATCGCTATATCTCTCCGCCGTCTTTGGGGGCACTCTTGATGATCTGCGCCGTGTGGAAGGTTGCTCAGCCTCTTGTTCTTGCGGCTCTTGTGGTCTCTTCTGCTCGGAAAGGTCATGATCGGCTGAAGAGACCTCGGGGCTGTGTTTGGGATCCATATCTTGCTGAGTAGGGGTTTCTTCGCGCTCAAGAGCCTCTGCTTTGCTCGTTTTCTTCGATTTCTTGGCCTTCTCCGTGGAAGACCTCTGCTTAGTCTTCTTCTTGAGATCCTTGTCGTTGGGTTCCCCTTTGGGCTGCTTTACAGGAGTAGGAACTCTAGCTGGGATCTCCACTGAAACAAACGACTCGTGAACCCTAGCATCTATGTCATCCTTTGACGTTTCGGCTGCTCCTGACCGCTTCCGTGTCTTCGTTGCTTTCTCTGTGCCAAGGTCCGTCTCTGGCTCGCGGATGTTAGAGCCCCTTGAGTTGCGCGTGGGGTTGACATGGTCCGGCTTATCCTCTTGGGCTGCTGGCCTAGGCCCAGACTCTTCGGGTTCTTCAGGCAATTCTTTGCCTGTCTGGGTCTCTTCCTCCCCGACATGGTCGACCACCTCCTGCGGCTCTGGCGTTGTCTTCTGCTTCTTCTTGGACTTAGACTTTTTCGATGGCTTCTGTACAACCGGCAGGCTTTGCTCTTCAGTTTCAGGCTGTTCTAGATCGGCCACAAGTGCTGCGTCAAGCTCGTCGTCATTAGGTAGGCGAGATTTTGAAGCGGTTTTAGACGTGGATGAGCCGCTAGAGGCTTTCCGGCTCTTTGAGGATGCTTTCTTCTTCGTGGTTCCGCGACCAGTTTTGGGCTCGTCTTCTGGGATGCTCTCTTCCGGCTGTGTGTCCACGACGACTTCTTCGTTTTGATTGCCGTCGTGTTGAGTGCTGTTTCGCGACTTTATGGCCCGCTTTTTAGTGGGTGGTTCGGCTTCCTCAAAATTCTCCGTGCCAATTACATTGACTTCTTCCCTTTCTACTTGGTCGCTTGTCCTCTTCTTTCCACGAGTGGTTCGTTTTGTTTTGGGGGGCTCGGGCTGGCTATAGTCGGCTGTATCAATATCCATCTGGCTGTCGGTCTCCGCCGCCTCTTCCACTTTAGACTTCACATTCTTTGACTTTGGTTTGGATGACTTTTTGGTTGCTTTTGCCTTGGTAGCTGGCTGCGAGATAGTACTCTGGTCCATGGGATCTTCAATTTCCGAGATAACTTCCGAAGCAGTTGATTGGGTTGAAAGACGAGACGCCTTGGAGGTACGTCCTTTTTTCGAACGTGGGCCTTTGCCTTTCTTACCCGGGGGCTGAGCAAAGACGAAGAACGAGCAGTCCGCGGAACGACGGTAATGTTCATCACTGGAGGGGTTAGTTGTGCTAAAAAGGAAGGAGCGATAAGCACTCACAAGGGATCGTCCTTGGGTTCCCACCCATCGAGGGACAACTTGCAGTATGCACAGCTTGCTAGGTCATTGCTCTCTTCAGTAGGGCAAAAATACCACCCTCCGTCGACCATCTGGCACAGAACCGTCGTCAAATGGAGTCCGGGAAAAGTCACGCCAAGATATCATACCTTTTCCGACTGACACACCCAGCCGCGTTTCCCATCATGCGGCCATGAAGTGCCAAAGGTGGCTAGTCTCGCCTCTCTTATCTTGTCACTTGTGGGATCCTCTATCTCAGCGGGGTTTGAGCTGTGTTGTTGGATATCCATCATCACGGCCCAGCCGCAATCATTCGCGTGCTTAAGATGCTCAGTTATTGGGTTGTCTTCTTCCTCCCATCCGTCGAGCGCTCTGTGACACAGAAAGCATGTTGTGTTATCTGGGTTCGTTTCGTAGGGATTGTAGTAGAAGCCCGCATGCGCCAACTACAATAATCAAGGGTTAGTTTTCTGATTGGCAAGGATTGTAGTTAGGAAGTTCTATATACCTCAGCGGGCGATGGCCTGCGGTGAGGCCAAGCAATAGGTTTAACGGCCTTTGCGCTCGATGTTCTTCGTTTCTCTGGGTGCAATACCAGATCGAAGCTGGCAAGGCGGGCAGCGAACGTCTCCATTTCGTCGGCCATTGTCGCGGGATCAGCGGACCATCAGGTGTGATGAGGGTCCCAGGATCACAATGTATATAGGTTTACCTCTTAAAGGTACACGATCTCGCACGAGAGGACGGACAGAGCGTGAGGGTCCCTCTGTTTACTGTCTTGTTTGGGTCGAGCCATCGGGAACGCGCCCGCGGAGATACGGCGCCACGTGACGTGGTGTGGCGTGCGGGTTGTGGCGCGGGCGGTCGCTGGGTAATCTCGATAGGCCGAGAACACCTGCCGAGCGAGTACGTCAGACCTTCCGGCCGCCATTGGGTAATCTGCGATTATCCCGCAGGAAAGTATCTGCAGTTTGATCTCATTGTTTCCTCAACTCCGCCCTTGCTCTACCTCAACTCTCCTTCAGTGAAACATGGTGTGAATCTGTAACGTTCAATGGTCATTGAGTTATTCAACAATTACAGCCCTCGCTGTGCCATCCTTCTTTTGCTTTTGAGGAACCGCGACGATGCGCGAAGTTACTGTAAGGCAGTATTCGCTTGCAGTCCACATGCTTTGAGTAGTGCTAATTGATTTCTTCAAAGTCTTTCCTTTTAAACTCTAGATCGGGCACATTCATGCGTCTGCGCCCGGTTTACCCGTCTCTTCCGCGATGCGCTCGCATCCCGAATTCCCTGCGGTCTTTCTCCCACGATTCTACCTCGGCCCCTACACCAAATGGAACTTATCCACTTAGAAACCGTGCGGTGTCTCGTGGAGGCTTCAGTTCACAATCTTCTTCCAGCGAGCATGGCCTCCTCCTTCCTTCATCATCTACCGCATCATTCTCTACCAGCTCACGAGTCTCGGACCCTGGTGACTGGGAAGATAACGCGAATCTCTCAATAGATGCATTCTCGGAGCTCCCTTCCAAAGACTTTGGTGTCAATCAGCACATGGTCATCAACCAAGAGTTTAAAGAAGCCTTACGTCAAATACTTTGGCAATTCCGAGCACCAATCCGATATGCATTCGCCTATGGTTCGGGCGTCTTCACACAGTCCGGCAGTGCTCCTGGCTCCGGCCAGTGTCACCCGTCTGCCCCGGCTGCGATCAAGAACATGCAACAAGGTCAGGGTAAGATGATTGATTTTATCTTCGGAGTGTCGTACTCCCAACACTGGCATTCATTAAACCTCCATCAACATCGGGACCACTACTCTGGACTGGGGTCTTTAGGGTCTTACGCTGTCGCTCAAACGCAAGATAGGTTCGGCGCTGGTGTCTATTTCAACCCGTATATCACCGTGAATGGAACGTTGATCAAATATGGCGTTGTCAATCTTGATACATTATGTCGTGATCTCAGCCAATGGGACACACTATACCTTGCTGGGCGGCTACAGAAGCCGGTTAAGATTCTGCGTGACCATCCGAAGGTCCGGCTAGCAAACCAGATGAACCTGCTGTCTGCTGTCCGGGTGGCATTGCTGCTCCTGCCCGCTGAGTTTACGGAGTTCCAACTCTACAGCACCATTGCAGGAATGAGCTACATGGGAGATCTTCGTATGGCCTTGCCGGCAGAGGATCCTCGTAAGGTTAGAAACATTGTTTCAGGTCAGATGGCCAACTTCCGGCGGCTCTATGCACCGCTCATCGAAACCCTACCTAATGTCACCTTCAACGACCAACGGTGCACCGAAGGCGATTGGATCGATGATCCTGATGCCAATGTGAAGCTAACCCAAGATATGGACCCAGTAAAACGTGGTAATATGGTCCGCCGTCTGCCGGAGTCATTCCGAGCGAAGCTGTACTTCCAGTATCAAACCCGTTTCCAAATACCTCGTGGGGACTTCAACAAAATGATGAAGGAAAGCAATGATGCCGACCAGGCATTGGTCCGGCGGAGACAAGGCGGTCCCTTCGAGCAGCGTATCGCAAACGACGATAGCCTGAAGCAAGAAGTTCAAGCTTCTATCACTAAGACCATTCGCTGGCCCAGCACTATCCAGTCGGCCAAAGGTCTGGTCACCTCCGGAATTGGTAGGACCTGGCGCTACCTGCGAGAAAAGCAAAATAAGTACAAGACTTCAGGCAAACATGCCAGCCCTCCGAGCGAGGTGTCGACAGAGAATGCGCCAAAGCAGGAATAGATAATTATCATTAGTGTCATAGTTATGACTGAAGCATGGTTTGCCAATAGGCAGCCCTAGACATCATACAAGGCATCTCAAGGCGTTGTGTTGGTTTGACATATGTGCTTGATTTTTCCATCCTTCCAAGTTCCCTTTCCCTTTGTCTCCCTTGGCTCAGCTACTGTATGGATAACTGGAGCAAGAAACACCACAATGTACATAGATGACTACAATAGGATAGACTAGCTCAGAAGGCTATATAAAACACCAAGACTCCGAAAAATGCAAGGAAATTTACTACTACTTTCCCTCCTACTGTGAGGCCGAAGCGAAAGGCGCCAACGTGCATGGTACATATAATTGGCGGTAAAATAGTCTTCAAGTTTCAGGCCAACATGAATAACAGCAGTCATTCATATAGCATACTAATGATCGGCTGAACGGTTAGAAGCTGATCGGTTGTCGTTGGCAGATTTTACTCCTATAATCCCATCGAAGAATATATCTTATCTCGATGCAATGCACCACGTCCATACTTGAACTGCTGTGTGTGAAAATTGCCAAATGCATCCAGGGAAGAGAGTTCTTTTGTCTTGAAGAGGGACTATGTCCCCAATGTGTACCAATTGTATAGAACCCTTCGGATAGATTGACCCGGAACCCTATTTCCCTTGATTCAAAATACCATTGACTAGCATCTTAAGCGACCCCATATCCAAGACGCAGCCATATATAAGTTCTCGGCTCTTGTTCAGGTTGTTTTGGATATAATGCAAGTTTGTCGATCTCTGCCTAACCCGGCCATTGGCCCGAGTGGGTATTGCCCACATGAGGTGTGCAAGGCTGCATAAGATTCATTCCCTTGACTATTTTGGATGTAAGGTCGACGGAGAAACACTCCCTGCTGATCTTTATTGTCGTCTGTTCGCTTAATTTCCGGGACATGTGCGAAATAAATGAGGTTTTATAGGCGTTCGGCAACACATGTGGAACTGTCCAAGGTTGTGAGAACTGTTTCAGGCATGATACTAGTATATCGTAGTGCCGAAGAACCAGCAGCCGACCCCGAGTCCTCCGGTAATTGGAATCGATGGTCCGTTGTAAATGAGGGTTGGTTATGGTAGATCAATGGCTATATTAAGCGGTGCAGGATCCCTCGCATTTTCTGACTATTAGTTCACCAAGTCAATTTTGAAGAACCACTTCTTTTTTCAGTCTTTTCGGCCTCAATGAAGATCACATCAACCATTCCCGCTGTCCTCCTGGGACTGGTGCCGCTGAGTGCAGCTGTATCAGTCTCAGGCTCAGCTGAGGGTTTCGCTACCGGGGTGACAGGCGGTGGCGACGCAGAAGCAAAGATTCCCAGCGATATCGATGAGCTGAAGGAATGGCTTACCGATGACACCCCACGAGTGATTGTTCTTGACAAAGAATATGACTTTACCGAGTCCGAGGGCACTACTAGTGGAACAGTTTGTGCGTCCTGGGGAACCGGGGACAGCTGTCAGAAGATTATCCAGGACGACTGCGGAGATTCTCCATCTTCGCAAGCAACTTGGTACGCTGCCGGAACGACGGGAATTGATGTTGCATCGAACAAGACAATCCTTGGTGACGGAGACAAGGGTGTCATGAAAGGCAAAGGCTTGAGGTTCAGAGACGGCGTGTCGAACATCATCGTACAAAACATTCAGATTTCCGACTTGAACCCTGAGTATGTCTGGGGTGGTGACGCCATGTATTTCGATGGGTCTGACCTGATCTGGATTGATCATGTCACGGTATGTACCTTATGAACAGATGAAAGAGTGTAGTTTGTTAATAGACATCCTAGACGGCTCGCACCGGACGTCAACACTACACCTTCGGATTCGCGACCAACACCCGTATCACACTCTCAAACAACTTCATCAACGGTGAAACCCCGTACTCTACAGGCTGCGACGGGTACCACTACTGGACCTTTGAGATGGTAGGCGAAGCAGATCAGATTACTATGCAGAACTGCTATATCTACATGACAACTGGCCGCAGCCCAGCCTTGAGTGGAGGTACTCTCTTGCATGCTGTGAACAATGTCTGGGATAAGAACAACGGCCATGCACTGGAGGGCGGCGATTCAGGTGCCAGGGGAATCTTCGAGGGAAATGCTTGGGTAGTTGTGTCCACGATTGTTGGAGACTACGCCGGCCGACTGTTTAACACACCGGATTCGTCGTCTGCTGCCGACTGCGAATCGGCTCTTGGTCGTGCGTGCGAGGTAAATGCTGTTTCCGATTCGGGCAGTCTTACCTCTTATACAGATACCTCCTTCTTCTCGGACTTCTCAGGCCTTACTATTGCGCCCGCCACCTCTGCCAGCGAGGCTCAGTCTAATGTCCCGAACAACGCGGGCATGGGGAAGCTTTGAATCTCTTTCGGGGACTTTTTTATTTGTACGCTTCTCTAATTTTGCGTTCTCAATTTGTAATGGCGCGTCCTGGGTGATGGCCTCCTATGCTGGATGCATTCGGCTGTATACGGAGTCACGTCAAGTTATATATTAGTACCTGTGAGATTGAAGTTGAGATCATTCGTTTCCTTGAAATGTCTACAGTGAGTGCGAAGGGTCAAGTTTGCCTATTATCAAGTTATCTGTAAAAATGAAGAGCAGCCTGGCCAGGTAAATATGATCATTATTCGGTACTTAGTACTAGATACAACGTCTTTGTTGAACCTTGACCTATCATATAAAAGGTATACACCTCGGATATTCCAAGAATAGTCTCGTAAAAGGCAAGTTACACCTTCTCTAGAAAACAATTGTTATGTACCTTAAATTATGTAGCTTATTGGCAGTATAATTGCAAAACTCGTACGAAGTAGGTACTAGGTTAGTAGATTCCATTGACTGCCGAAAGGATTGAATTTAAACTACCGTTCCTGAGGAGTCACACTTCCGAGACCGGTCCCGCCTCTAATCTTCCCCGCCACTTAAAGGACCCCCCACCGATCTTTCTTTGGTTTGCAAGGAATCTCTTCACTTCAGCAATATCACACCAAAATGGCTGCGAGACAATCCCCGTTCGATCTCTCTAAATGCGCACGCAAGAATATCTTGCAATTGCAACCCTATCGCTGTGCGAGAGAGTGTGTTTGCCCTCTAGATCCCCGCATCAGCGCCCAAGAAACTAATGAGTCAGTGACTACAAAGATGACGGAACGAATGTCCTGCTCGATGCCAACGAAAACGCCTATGGTCCCGGTCTTGCCCTGAATTCGGAAGGCGCTCTGCAAGAATCTACAATCAATGGGGGTTCGACTGGCTCCTCGAAGCCAGACATCGACTTTTTGGGATTGAACCGCTATCCCGACCCGTGAGTGACTCACCCTTACCTCAGTCCCTAACAAGTCTAAGCTGACTCAGATTGATGAATTACTAGACATCAGATTGAGCTGAAGCAACTTTTCTGCAAGCTCCGCAATACCCGTATTCACAGCCAAAAAGACCTGACCCCCGAGAACCTTTTCGTTGGAGTCGGCTCCGACGAAGCCATCGATGCTCTGTTGAGGTGTTTCTGCGTGCCAGGAAAGGACAAGATCCTTACTTGCCCCCCTACCTATGGCATGTATGGTGTTAGTGCGCAGGTCAACGACGTGGATATTGTGAAGGTCCCTCTGGATGTCGAGAATGGCTTCCAACTGCAGCCGGACAAGATTCTCGAGGCCCTGTCTGCAGATGACTCGATCAAGATGGTGTATATCTGCTCACCGGGTAACCCTACAGCCAACTTGATCCGTAAGTCCGACATTCAGAAGGTGCTGGAGCATCCCACATGGAATGGTCTGGTCGTTGTGGATGAGGCATATATCGACTTTGCACCTGAAGGCTCCAGTCTCGCCGAGTGGGTCAACGATTGGCCCAACCTGGTGGTTATGCAGACTTTGAGCAAGGCTTTTGGTCTGGCCGGTATTCGACTAGGAGTTGCGTTTACCAGCCTGCCATTGCCCGTCTGTTGAACAGCCTGAAGGCCCCCTATAACATTTCAAGCCCAACTAGTGCAATTGCTATGGCCGCTCTGTCGCCTATCAACATGGCTGTCATGAAGAAATACCGCGAGAAGATCATTGCTCAGCGTGAACGCTTACTACAGGAACTGCCTAAGATCCCAGGAGTGGGTCGCTTCCTGGGCGGACAAGAGTCGAACTTCCTCTTGGTTGAACTCCTGGATAAGCCTGCCAGTGAAGGCGGAAAGCCCAGCAACAAGATTGCCTTGGCTGCGTACGAAGCTATGGCGGAAAAACGCGGCGTGGTGGTACGTTTCCGCGGGAAGGAGCTCGGATGCGAAGGCTGCCTGCGGGTTACAGTAGGAACAGAGGAAGAAGTCACTAGGTTCCTGCAGCAATTGCGGGTAGTCCTGGACAGTCTTCTCAGGGGCTCGGATGTCCAGTCGTTGAGAGGATAAGCGCATCAGAACTCGAACCAGTCATGTCATTTTCTTTTCTCAAGATTAATTACTTTTCAGGATAGACTTTCTTAGCCTTTTAGAACGGAGATTTCGTCTTAATATTAAAGAGCGTTAGTATTTTCCTTATCGTCATTTTCCGACCGGGAGAGACAGGCAAATACGTAAGAGGCTTGAGTGGAACCAGCACCAGAAGGTTATCTATCCATGTGTACTCGGGACAGGAAGTATGAAACAGGGGGTACATATCGTACGGGGTCGTGATAAAGAAGTCTGGGTGATATGGTAGCAAACTACTAGTGGCCAAAGTAGCAACCGTAGTAACAATGTATTTTATGTATACCAATTATTACGATGGTATGGTTGAGGAGAGAGAAAGATACATGTCACAAGGCCGCCACGTGGACCAGGCACACCTGACGTGACTTTTGTCTGTCGTATGGTTTCTCCTACCGAATGGTAGCTTCCATCGAAGAATGGATACTACCCTGACACTTTACAATCCAATCTGGTTGCACGAGTCATGTCCGTCTTATGTAGGAGATTGATCGGGTCACTCGCCAACTACCAATGGAATTCCTCCAAATTTCTCCCAATTATCTGATAAGGTAACAGCATGGATTATCACCTATGCGCTTTCTCTCTATTCGTCGCTAATAATCCGCATTGATCATATACGAGCTCACGTTCTCAACAGGGTTCGTCCCTTGAACGGCGGATGATAACCGGCCCAAGCTCGAATCTCCTTCTCGAGTCCAAGAATCACAAGCAATGCTTCATTTCGCCATCGCTATCGGGCGGAAGCCAATAAACTTACTCCGCAAACAGCTCCTGAGCGACTAAGTCCCCGACTCAATCGCCTCTCGCTGGCTGGTCCAATACCATCTCGTGCTGACCTGCCCAGCTCCTCCGTCCTCGAATCCTGCTCTTCGAACCAAACGGAGGGCCGATAAATGGCGCTTCCCGGCGTCCACTGCCACTGTTCGGTCTTATCTTTTGAATCCATGGTTATCGGTTGGCCGCCATGACCCTTGGCCTCGAGGTGGGTATGATTTTCTCATCACGATTATCAACATATTCATTTTTATTATTAAATAGCCGTTCATGGGGTTGCTTTTTTGCCGGGGTCTCCCCCTTCCGTTTGCATATGGATATTTTCCTTTGCTGATTGATCTAACCATCTCGCTCTGTCTCTCTAACTTTGTGACATACTGTCCTTGAGTTAATATACTTTACAACTTCTATCGAAACGGCGGTGAAATCCTTCCTGTTCATTTCTCTGTAATACTAATCTTATTTCACTTGGGGATACGTAAGAGCCAGGCTCTACACTTATCTACCAGGTGAACCTCTTGTCTCCCTCCTTTTTTCCCCTCGTTTTCCCAATTACCCTCATTTGCTCTTTCGTCAACGATCAGAATCTATACGAAGAAGGGCCTCCTCCACCCGGGACGCCACCAGATCAACATTCACTTTCCCTCCCACTGTTACCTCCCATTTAAGGCCGGTTCCACCCGCTATTTTTGCCCCCAAGATCGTCGCCTTGTTATATTCCCCGGTTTCCCTTACGTTATACCTTCTTTCCCCACACTGAGCAAATACTCTAATCTGGGGAACCGCACGTGCATGCTCAGGGTGGTTCGTCATGAGCAATGTGAGTGCAAGTAAAGGCACGACGTTGTTGAACTTACTCCAGGGACTCATCCACGGTGCGTTATTATTTGATAACTTGGGCTGCTCTCGCTTGTTTTCAACTGGCCCCTCTGCGGAGGTGGTTCAGCGGCCATGACTGTGCTGGACACTCGTGGTCTATATCCGGAAATCCCTCCGAATGCTCGAACGAAGCTTGACGATAACCCAACGCTCTTAGTGAGCTGGTGGGCCACCGGCTTCTCCCTGGCCATCATTGTGGTTCGAGTCTGTGGTCGCTATGTTCGCATCGAACGCTTCTTTCGGGAGGATAAGGTGATGATGCTTGCCATTATCCCCCTGTTGATCCGCATGGCCCTTGTACATCTTATCCTCATCTGGGGGACCAATAATACGAAGACAGGGGGGTTGACGGCAGAGGAGATTCAACATCGCATCGTTGGGAGCAAGTTGGTTCTGGTTTCTCGAATTTGCTATGCTATCTTGTAAGGCTACTGTTTCGAAGCATTTGTCCGAGATAAAACATGCCGGCTGACTGTTTTGACTACCACAAGCATCTGGACTGCCAAATTTACCGTATGCGAATTTCTCAAACGGGTTTCGGAGATGATATGGCGCCGGTCTCTCCGGATCTTCCTCAAGTTTATCTATTATTTCTTGGGATCGACGCTGATTGCCGTGGTACTCGCAACCCTAACTGAATGCCAGCCTTTCAGCCACTACTGGCAGGTGGTTCCGGATCCAGGCCCCCAGTGTCGCTCGGGCTATGCGAACCTGATTACAATGGGAGTATGCGACGTGATTACGGATCTCCTTCTGGTGGCCTTTCCTATTCCTTTAATTATGATGACTCACATGTCTGCGAAACGCAAAGCCTCTCTCGTTATTCTCTTTGCCTTATCCTTGATTCTCGTCGGCATTACTTGCTACCGCGTACCCGCTGTGATTAGCCACAAAGGATCCCAGCAATACCGATCTCTTCTGGCGTCTCTAGAGATCCTCGCTGCCACGGCGGTTTCAAATGCCATAGTCATCGGGTCCTTTGTGCGAGACAAAGGCGTCAAGAAAGCCAAGTTTAAAAAAGCTATTGGATCTGCCTCTGTCAGCGAGAGTATGGATCACAGCTCGGTTCGTCGTACAACTATCACGCACCACCACTGGGGCAGTGACTCCGACCTGGCCGGAGATATGGGCATCCGTTTGCACCCTGAGCTAGTTTCTCCTGACCACAAGCTGCCTCGGCCAGCCCCCGTGGTTGCCCCCTGCGAGCCTCTCACAGCCCGTACGGGCACGCTGAATCCAAACTGGTCGTTCAACCATCATGCTTCTGCTATCGAGGACGATCGATCCTCTTCGACAGGCAGTCTTGACATTAAAGTGAGTCCACACGAGTATCTTCCAACCAATAAAACGCCGCGCAAAGCTTCGGGCGACCCCGTCCCGAACTCCCCCGGCCGAGTCTCTATGTTTGACGTCGGCGGTCTCCTAGATCCATCCCCTAGGAGCAGCCCCCCTCCAACCTTGCATATGAATTACCAAATGCCTCCTCCCGGGCAAACGACTCGTACACGCAGTGGAAGCGCAGCCTTTCTTCAAGACGTTGGCGGTCTACTCTCCACTCCGACCCCAGGGGCTACTCCAAACGCTTCACCGAACTTCTCACGACCTGGCGGTCTTCGCACTAACTCGTATGGCCGCCGACGAGGGTCCAGCGTGCATTTTAGTGATACGCCGGAGTCACCGGCTCCTCCCTATCGATCTCAATCCGATGTAACTGCCCCAATTCCTGAAGGAAGTGATGATGTCGAACTTCAGGATGTTGGGGGATTGCTATCAAAAAATTCATGAATAATGACGGTATATACTAAACGGTAGTTGGATGTATAAATAGGCTTGCTTCTCTTCGTGGGGTTTCTGTTCTCCCCACCCTTTTTCCTTTCTGTTGTTTATTATGGGTAATGTGTACTGGATTGGAGTTGGAATTAGCGAGGGCGTTGGTATTGGTTGAGTTTTTGGTCTACATGTATATTTCTATAGTTGCCATCGGATTGAGTCGATCATATCTGAATATGACCCGTCCCATCCTCTCTCTACTTGGGAAGGATTGGCTATTAACGACCACTGAAAATCTCATGACCATTGCATTTTTCAGTAATCTATCAAGAAAATTGTACAATATAGTCGGGGTTTTTGCGATTAGTAAAATTTCAAAGGAATCAACCAGAACCATGACAGTACACTCCAGCCATGAATCATTCGTTTCGCCCTTACGCCATGCTGCCCATAATGCCTGCAATTGGACTTTCGTTTGATTTTTCTTTTTCGTCCCGTAATTTGCCCACTCCTCTGGTTTTTCTCTCTCTTTTGTTCTTGGAGACCTCATCCACTCGATTCTATGTTCACTTCGAGGGGTGAGACACGGCGTAGGCCATAGTGCAGGAGACAACCGCGCCCCGGCAAAAAAGGTGCTCAAGAACCTCTTGGCGAACTCGAGATGTTCTTTCGGCATCTTTGAATGGAAAAAAAGCGCGATGAACTCCCCCCAAGCAAACAGCCGTCCGTTAATATAGCATAACCATCCAAGCCGTACTCGTCAAGATCGCGATTAAATAACCCAGCGGTAACTAGCATAACGACCGGCCGTTTCACTCTTGCGAATAATCTTGACGACCTGCCCTCTGCGCAGACCCAGGTATCTCGCCACGGGATCCGACACCTGGATACGGGGCAACTGAGATTCCTTCAGACGATAGCGCTGCAGCAACCGGGACTTCTCCTCGGGGCTCAGCAGGACGTGCTTCGGGACCAGTTCGTGCCGGGTGATGTTGACCAGCAGATCCTGCTCCTGGAAATGCTCGCAGATACGACCGGGGACACCGCTCAGCAGACGCACGGCGGACGGAGAGATCGGGGTCTGGGTGATGAACACGCCGGTGTGGAAGTTGTTCTCGTCGACGAAGTGGTTGAAGGTGCGCACTTGCTTGGTACCGACGCCAGTCGAGTCGGGGCAGAATTCAACGTAGATGGTACCGCAGTCGGGCTGGGGGTCCGGGTTGGAGTTGGTCTTGAGGGCCGTGTATTTGAGTTGCATGGCCTCCGTGGGGCGAGCTTGGATTTTCATCTTGTTGCGGCTACACAAAAGTTACGCCGAATTGTTAGCGGCCTTTTTTCCTTGGGAGGTTGCAAACGTGCATGCTGTTCTGGGGTCGCATACTCTGGGTATCCGAGGGGATCGGAGTATTTCTGTTTGAATTCTTCGAGCGATATTTGCACTTCTTCTTCGGTGACTTCGTAGCCCTGTCCGAAAATGGCCTGTCAGCATACATTGTGCGACAAACGCTGTGGGTGCAGCCGATTGTTCCTCTCCTATAGCAGCACGTACCCGATCCTGAAGCATTTCGAATACCGTCCTCCATGTGCGCCACAGTCTGGTCATCTCGCGGTCGGCATCGACGGAGCCAGAAGAGTAGTCCTCGTCCATGGTGAAAAATGAGGCGCACCTGCGCTACGACACAAACTAAAATAAATGAAAAAGAGTAGTGTCGGGAAAGAGTTAATTTAGAGAGATCGAGGACCAACTCTGAGCTCAATGTGAGCCGTGGGATGGGACAGCAAAAAAAGTTGGCTGGAGTGGCAGCGTTGCGAAAAGCGATAGAGGGAGGTTCTCGAAAAATCGGCGGAACAGCGCTAAGCGGCAACGGTTAAGCGCCGCCAACAACGTATTAACCCCAAAGGAAAAGGCCAGACCGAGAAAATGAGCACGAGTTTCTGCCCCATTCCTTTCCTCTTCTCCCAACATTCCCCTTTGGTTTCCCCTCATTTCACGCTCTTTTGGGGTCTCTCCTAGCGATTGATTTCGGTCAATCTATTTGCATTGTCAAGTGTTTACCCCCCGTATTTGCAAATTCCCCAACAAGATGGCCGCTGAAGCCAAATCGGCTCCTGCCACGGAGCAGAAGGTGAAGCCTACCAAGCCCAGTGAGGAGGCGTTCAAGGCCGACCTCGCGCAGGCTGAGAAGGAGCATGCTGCGGTTCAGGAGAAACTGGTATGTGACGGTTTATTATGTCATTTTGCGTTCTTTGGAAGTTTCAATGGTTGTTGTATACAACGCACAAAATATATTGTGCCATTTTCTTACTCGGTGCCCACCGACCATTTATGATCTACCCTGCGATTTCTCGAGACGTTTCCTATACCGTTCCTGCATTCCATTGACGAACAAGACACTAACTTCCTCAAGAACCAAGTCAAGGCCAAGATCGAGACCGCCAAGCCCAACAACAAGGACTCGCCCGCGGCCAAGAGACAGCAGGAACTCCGTGCTGAGCTCTCCTCCATCCGTCAGAAGCAGTCGGGATTCAAGGCGTCTAGGTCCAGCACTCAGGAGAAGATCAATGCCCTGGACAGCACGCTCAAGGCCCGCATTGCGGAGCAGAACAACTCCAAGACCCGCATGTCGTTCAAGAGCGTCGAGGAGGTTGATCGCGAGATCGCACGCCTCGAGAAGCAGGTTGATTCCGGCACCATGCGCTTGGTCGATGAGAAGAAGGCCCTTGCCGACGTCTCCAGCCTGCGCAAGCAGCGCAAGAACTTCGCCGGCCTGGACGAGGCCCAGAAGGTCATCAACGACATCAAGGCTCAAATCGCCACCCTCAAGAAGACCCTTGACAACCCTGAGGCCAAGGCCCTGAGCGACAAGTACGCCGAGATCCAGAAGGAGCTGGATGCCATCAAGGCCGAGCAGGATGGCGCTTTCAAGAACCTCAACGCCTGCGGGACGAGCGCACAAAGCTCCACGGTGAGCAGCAGCAGAAGTGGACTGCTATCCGTGAGATCAAGGACACCTACTACAAGGCCCGCAAGGCCTACAAGGAGTACGAGGATGAGGCCTGGAGAGTCCGCCGTGAGAAGCAGAAGGCCCAACGGGACGCCTTCGAGCGCGAGAAGAAGAAGAAGATTGCCGACAAGAAGCTCGAGGAGGCCTCTCGCCTGGCTTACACCGACGAGATCCTTACCGCTCAGGGTCTGATCCGCCACTTCAACCCCGCCTACGACTTCGCTGCTCTGGGTCTGGATGACAAGAAGGACCAGTCCTCTCAGTTCCGTGCTGAGATTGGCCGTACCATCGATGACTCCGGCATGAAGGGCATGAAGGTCCTGAAGAAGGAGGAGGACGACTACTTCGTCGGCACTGGTGGCAAGAAGGGTAAGAAGGGCAAGAAGAGCAACGCCAACGGCAGCCCTGCCCCCGCCGAGAAGTTCAACCTCAACGTTGGTATCATCGAGGAGTTCGCCCAGGTCAAGATCGACCCCCCTATGAACCAGACCGATGTCCCCGCCGTGGTCGAGAAGCTGGCCGCTAAGATCACTGAGTGGAAGAAGAACCAGGCTTCGAAGACCGAGGAGGTATGTACCGCTCTACGTTAATTCCCGCTCGTATGAGCTACCGTGACTAATTTTTTCCATAGAACATCAAGAAGGCCCAGGAGGAAATTGCCCGCTTGGAGGAGGAGGCCGCTCAGGCGGACGACCGTGCGACTGACGCTGCCAAGAAGCCCGCTATCATCAACAGCGGTGTTAACGGCAAGGTCTCGGCCGAGGCCGAGCTGAAGCAGGAGCAGGACGCCGCCGCCGATGTGTCCGACGAGCTGCAGAAGGCCTCCCTCGAGGAGACGGCCTAAGCGATGCGCCCCGGATAGATTTATGCAACTTTGCATGTTCTTGCATCAGCGAATTGACGCTTTAGACCCCAAGCGGAGATTTAGCATTTACATTTCATTTGTTTTTGGTTAGTTCTGTGCATCTTATCGACAACTCTTTGCTTTTGCAGATCCTCCCTTTATTTTCTTTTCTCTGTGGGGGAATCTTGCCCCGATCGGAGGGGGTTTAATTCTCCTTTGCGAGGCCACCGTCTGGCTGTTATTCCTTTCTTGTAATCCATATTTACTACTCTTTTTTGACTTCTCGTCTGGTCTTGTTCCATCTTGCTATGGCCGGACTACCGCATTCTCCCCTCTTACCCACCCACCCTCTCCTCTTCCCTCCCCAAAAGTCTGCAGAGCAGGATGATGAGATTTAGCGTTGATTTCAGAGCTTGTGAGGAACGATCTGAGCGATTGGGGGACGCCGTTGCTGGTTTTGCTATATGAACCGAATCTACCGTATTCAATTGACTTCTCGCGTAAGCTCGTAAGTTTCGCCGCGTCAAGGTGTGCGTAGCAAGTATACCGTCGGCCAATGATGGAGGGTGGCTCGCCATCACCTGCCATCGGCACGTCATGCAGCTGGCCGAGGCTTGACGGAGTGGCCAGTGGAACGAACAGGTCCGTGTGGCGGTGCATCCCGACCAAATGTGGCCCAGCCTAGATTTGAAGTTGCCTAAACGGGACCGCCAGCGCCAAGGGTCTTGGTTGTTCAATTCCAATTTAAATCCGCTCAGTTCATTCAATCCCTTTTCTCGGCACTTCCGACGATCCCCTCTTTCTTGTCCTTCCTTGTGCCTCCTCTCACTCCTCCTCGGTCCCCTCGTGGTGCTCTCGGACTCGATATCTAGGGCAACCAGCCACCCGCAATACCGGAGTTAAGCCACCCGGTCTAAAACCACCGCCAGCGCATCGACTCAACAACGCTCTCCAACTCCTCAACCACCTCCGGACCACCCGCCAAAATGTCCTACAACAAACCCGTACGCACCCTCTCCATTCTCCACTACCACAAAGGTCACAGAGCACTGACAAATGCGTAACAGGACGGACCGCCTCCCTCCTATCCCGCCCCCGTCCACGACGCAGCCCTACTCACCCTCCCCAAGCGCCCAGCGCCCAGGGCGACTACTACAACCAAGGCGGCGGATACCCTCCGCAGAACTACGGTCCACCCCCGCAGCAGGGATACTACGGCTCTCCGCCGCCGCAGGGTCAACAACCCATGTACTACCCGCCGCAGCAAGGGTACCCGCAGCCGGGGTACTACGCCGATGACCGCGGCGGCGGCGGCGGCTCCTCGGGCGGTGGTATCTGCGCCGGTATCATGGCTGCGCTGGCCTGTTGTTGTTGTCTGGACATTCTGTTTTAGATTGCGTCGTCTTGCCTGCCGTTTCTACGCTGCTGCGGTTGCGACTAGGTTTTCGTTTCGTCTTTTGGCGCCGGAATGGAGTTGGTTTCGCTCATGGTGTACGGGGTATCTTTCTTTGCTTGTTCAGCTGCGAATGGTTCGTCTGTTGCATTTTTGATACTCGGTTAATCAAACGTGTTGCTATCGTTATCGTGATATATTACTTATGCCGATGCTATATTATATTATGTCATGGACATTCATGCTCGTACATCGAGTTCAACTTAATCACATCACTCATAACCAGTCACACAAACACAAAAGAACAAAATAAAAGGGTATCAATCATCAAGACATAAAAACACTCCCCATTCCTCTCCTCCATGCTACCCAACCCAACCCAATAGACAAAATCAAACCCTCGAACTAAACTCACTCCCCTCCAAATCCCCCCTCCTCCACCCACCACCATTCCTCCCCCGTCTCGGCGGCCGATCAACACTACTAGCCTCCTCAAACACCTCAATGACATCGCCCTCCGACCGACTCGGCGCACTGGTCACACTTTCCTCCACCACAATATGCTCCGCATGCCCATGTGCACCAGCACTCACCGGCCTCTCTTCCTCAACCACAATGCGTCGCCCCCGTCTCCGCCGCATTCCGCCCGCGCTACTCGCCGACGCCATCTCCGTCTGCGTTTCGCTGCCGAAGCGGCGCCCCGAGCTCAGCCCCAGCCACAGCAGGTAGAGGAGGAAGATGAAGCCGAAGACGCTGCCCAGGATGATTCCGGCGACTGTTCCCGGTGACGGGGAGCTGTTGAGACGGCCGTAGGAGGCCGGGATGGAGATGGTGCTGTAGGTTGGGCCGAGGGGGATAGGGGAGAGGCGTTTTGTGAGGTTGTTGCTGTCGCTGTTGTTGTGGAGGTCTTGTTGGTGGTGGTGCGGGAGGGGGGGCATTTCTTTCCTCTTTTTCTTTCGGGCCCTGTAGCTTTGGATTCCGGCGTGTGTTTAGTTGGTGATTGTGATTGTGATTGTGGTTGTTGTAGTTTCAATGTTTGGAGAATGGTCGGGGATTATCTCGGAGATTGCGATAAGATTGTTTAATGTGGAGGTTGATGTGGAGATTTCAGTATGCTTGTATGCGCGACATGGACTTGTGTCTTTAGGAATGTGCGAAATGGGGTCATGGAATGTAAGAATGAATGAATGAAGTAATGTATGTGTATGACAGAAGGAAAAGAGAGAAATCGACGTGGAGGGATTGCGAGGGCCTGGACCAGGAATTATTGGTGGCTGGGAAGGACGGCCACTCATTTATGCAGGAGACGGACGGGTTAGGGCTGGGATCCACGCATACATCAATCTAAGTGCCGTTCAATTTGAGAGTTTTTATTAATTTATACAGAATTATTTTTGATGAGATGGAGTTGGTATTTTCGGTTTTTGTATTAGGTTCGTTGGATTATGCTCCTTGTGGTGGGTACATTGATATGGTAAGGATACTGTTTTCTACTTCTAAATATGCATAGAATTAAGACAATAAGAGAATCACTGGCGGTGTAGTATTAGTCTATCAAATCTATACCATACTCAAATGTCAGGATAACAGCGACTATCCTGAGCACCATTTCCCATTGATGTATGTGAATTAAGCAGGTGTGTGCAAAAGCCTTATCACGGCAGAGGTCAATTTAGACAGCACCGATCGCCATGGTATATTCCGAGAAGACTTGAGACTCCTGCCGACGTGGATGTAGAAACTTGTCAATCCAGTCCCGACGCCATTCATCCTCGTGCCAGCAGGTGTAGAGAGCTTTGCAGTACTCCCAATAATCTGGGTACCAGCCTGCCAGGCCCCAGTCGACGATGGCAATGACTCGAAATGGGGCGGTCGAGGATATCATAATGTTACCTCGATGAAGGTCGGCGTGTGTGAATTTGATATCTCCGTCATCAGGCAAGAGGTCTCTATAGGGATCTTTATATTTCAGGGACACCGGAAGCCGCGATTGGGGCAGGGTGGAGAACCAATCGTTAAATTCCTTTATGTTTGGAAATGGCCAGAAGGTTTACGAAGCTATTATTACGTGGATTCGAACATCAAAAACTTGATCAAAGTGTATGGTACTTCATTGCAAATGCAGCCATATGAGCGGTCTGCATAGCTAAAGGTCTGTCCTTCAATCGCCCGTAGCCACTATCTTGGAATTAAGATTAGTATGCTCCCTTCCGCTGCTCATACTTGGGCTGCTCGGGTGACTCAACATCTCCGTATCCAGTCAGCACAGGGGTGGTGTAGGACAGCTCAAAGCTACCCAGCTTAGCGCCATCCGACTCCAAGGCCCAAAGACTCAGTGCCAAATAGTTGGTTCCACGGTAGTTCAGGATACCTTCGGGAACAGGGAAGCTAGTCTGTGGCCCAACGTTGCCAGTGTACTTGCCATACTGGTAACCGTTCACATACAGCTGTGCCCGAACCGCCTGAGTGTTGTTGCCAAAGTTGAAGTACAGCGGTACATCCCAGCTTCGGGATATTGAGGTCGAGCTGAGCTGTGTAGAATCCGATACCTGGCTTCGAAAGACCTTCAAGGGGACTGCCCGACTCCCAGGAGTCGCTTGGAGGCTGAGGCTGGTGGAAGCCCTGGCGCTCTGCGTACAGTCCACCTTCGTTGAGAGGCCCTCTGACCTTATCCTGGTAGTCTTCTCCTCCGAGGTTACCAGTGAGCTTCCAGGTGATTGCGCTGGCATCTTGTCCGCTCAGCTTGTAGCTAAGAATACCGCGAGGGTTCTTCATGGTTTCCTCGCCGACGGTCCAGTTCTCGTCGAGGCCCAAGTTGTCAATCACCACAGTGATAACGTAGTTCTTGCCCGACTCCAGCTGAGACAGCTTGAAGGTAGAGTTACCGTCCATAGCATAATCGGCACCAGCCCAAGAGCCCAGATATGTCTCATTCAGCCATACGGAGCTGCCAAATGCGCTACCACCCTGTGTGCGGATGACAAATTCGCTTTCTTTGCCGTTGGCAACGAAGTGGCCCCTGTAGATCAGGTAGCCAGTGTGGAAGCCATAATCAGAAGAGTATAGCGATGTTGGTGTGTCAAGAGGACGGTGGGTGTTCTTCGTTGTTGAGAGATCCGCAGAAACCCAAGCAGAGTCGTCATAGGAAGACTTGATCTCGGGAAGTGTGTCCAGGTATTTCCAGTCCAGATCCTTCAAACTGGGAAGCGTGATCTCCGGAGCCGCGTACTTGACCTCACTACTCCAGATGCCGTTCTTGTCAACTGTGTGACTAGCCTTCTCGCCATTCACGAACAGGTTCTTAGCGTTTGCTGGAGCACCGATCACTTCAATCGGGGTGGTGGCATTGAAATCGGCAGTCAGATGGAGGTTGGCACCATCCAGGTGAGCGCCTCGCAGAAGGTAACCGGCCTTCACAATAATGGATGAGGCGGTCGTCTTCGCAGTGTTGAAACCGGGAGAAGTACCTTGCGTTGGAAGCTCGGGGACCCAGTAGTTGTAAGCAGAGTTCCTATCTGTGGATTTATTAGTGGTGTACGCCGGTTTAGTGTAAATTTACTTACCAAGCAGGACCACTCTCAAGTCACCGACTTGAACAATGCGACGAGTAGATGAGACATCCCAGCTAATGATGACAGAGCTGCCCTTCCTCTTTGCGACGATCCCTGAGTCTGAACCTTCAATAATGGTTGCATTAGACTTGGAGGCAATGGCCAGTTCGTGGTGCTCCTTCGGTCCGCCGTATAGGACCAGAACCTTTTCATTGTCAAACTTCTTCCAGGTGAAGACTTCAGCTGTCGAATAGATAATGTTCGTTCCAGACACATTATAATCAACAACATGAATCTTAGAGTCACGTCCGTTCAGACTTAAAGTACCCTCCAGCTGGGGAATAGTCAGGTTACCAGCACTGGTAGGAAGTCTAAGTTTGTACGAAGTTGACTCTTGACTGGAATAGTCCGTATGTCTGACCACGAAGAACGAGCCCGAACGATCACCAATTAAAGGGGTGACAGCTAGGTCTGAGGTGTCCGTGTAGACACCGGTACTCAGGTTTCCGGGAGTAGCGGTGAGATAGGCTGGGGATACTTTGACAAAGTTGCTGAGGAGCTTTATGTCGCTGTACTTCTCCCGTGTCACATTTCGCGTTTCAGTTATAGGTGAGCCGTAGTCGTAGGATGTATATCCGCCGGGGTGTCCAAGGTTGCCCCAGTTTGTTCCACCGAACGTCTATATGTGTCAGCGCAAGGTATGCTTCAAAGATACAAACAAGTCATACCATGTATAAGTTAAGAGTAGAAACCCCAAAACTCAAATCATTCCTGTAAAAGACTCTCGAAAATTCGTGATTAACGAGAGCATAGCAATTTTCAAAGCCGGGTCCACCCCATGGGTCGAAAGCACCCGCTTGGAACTAGGAAACAGTGAGACATATTACTAGTCCTGCAAGTTGGGCAACTTACCTCAAGAAGTGAGTACGGAGTTGATGGGCTCTGTTCGAGATGGAGCTGGCGGAAATTCTCGGGCAGTTTGCCCTCGGGCCATACAGAGGGGTTTGCCTATAGATGTCAGAAGCATTCAACTTCGTTCGCAGAATAGAACGTACACAATCAAAGCCGAGCCTAAAGAAGATGTCAGTTTCAGTCAGACGACAAACCTATGAAAGAAGAGAAGGGCATATGCAGAGTGCCTTACGGATAGCTATCGTGACCATAAATATCAACAGCTCCCACCCCAGTCCCAGGAGCATTGTGCCCAGAAGGCGAGGCATCATTGCTGATGAGGGGTACAACAATATCAGCGTTCCGAGCCTGGTCCATAACATATTGCATGTAGTCTCCATCGGGGTAAGTGACACCGCAGCAGCCACCGCTGTATTCGTTTTCGGGCTGGTAGAGAATCACTGGCCCTCCATTCGTGATTTGAGCCTTTGCGATGGTAGCAGCGACATTGGCGATATAGCTAAAGTCAAAATGTAAGCAAGTGTGCGGAGTGACTGTCAGTGAACCCATACTTATCAGTAGCTTCAAGGAATGGCTTATCAGAGGAGCGCAGAGTGCCATTGACCCTCTGCAGCCATCCAGGAAAACCACCACCTGAGGACTCAGCATTGATGTACGGACCGGGGCGGGCGATCAGATAAATGCCTGCTTCCTTGGCTGCATCAAAGAAGGGTTCCAGAGCAAAGATACCCTCTGCTTTGTAGTCGCCAGGCTTTCCCTCCAGGAGGGCCCAATCAATATAGAAAGATACACAATTGAAACCAAGAGCCCTGATCTTCTGGAAAATATCGAGCCAAAGCGATGGTACTGGTAATCTGCTTCCGTCAGGATAGAGCCCTAGTAGTACACAAGTCTGGTGTACCTGAATGGATGCACTTCTCCGCTGAATAACATAATCCTTTCTCCATTTATGAACAGAGATTTGTCATCCCATGTAACCTGCAGAAAGGTCAGTATGTTTACATAATCACTATGGAGCATCATGAGTGATCCAGAATTGATGACGACATACAATGTCCTGCAACAAGTCTCGTTTCGCCGGATCCGGATGTTCCAGGATCGTGAAACCATTGAGACGATGCTTGATGGAAGCACCCGCTGCTTGTGCCGCCAGCAAGGCAACAGCAGCAACAGAGAGGAGCTTCATGGTGTCGTGCTGCAAAAGAACCCCAGTGAGAGCTTACAGCAGATTTCGCATGTTTCGGGGGGCAATTGCACGATTATAAGTAGGGTTGAAAGGATAAATAGTATAAATAACCGGCTTCATTAATTAAAATGTCGAACACCTTGCGTCAATGATGTTTATAGAGTAGGGAATGGTCCAATAGAGTCCTTCGTTGAAAGTGGAGTACATACGATTTCATCTAAACATCATGTAGAATCGTGGAGCTGTATACAAACAAACCAGTACACGATGGCCCCCTGCTGGTCAAAGCACCATTAACAAGCAAATCAGAGGAGAGCCAGACGCCCGGAGGTACTTCCTGCGAGCTGGAATGCTGTGAGACCGGACCAATGCAGCACAACGTAGAAGGAAAGTATTGGTGAAGATCCCCCACACGGAGGAAAGGTGCCCATCGGATGACGATCACGGGAGTATTTCTCCGCATATCAAAAGCCTTCACCCCTTCATAACCAACTTCACCACCCAGAGATGTACCGTGTTATCTCTTTTGATCGCCGTCCATACATACATGAACATGCCAGTTCAAGGATATAGATGGGCATGGGGAAGATATATCCATGTCGAGTGCCTGAATATCGGATAACATAGGCATACTAAGCATATGCCAACCCTAACCTTCTAGGCAGTAAGTTGATGAACATGAGCCAAGAAAGCATACTTAATGATTCAATGTCACCATCAGGCCACCAGTGAAGCTACTAATATGTACATCATCGGGCGGGACAAGACGGTTATTATCCGAGAAGGTCAATAATAAGCATTTAGTCAAAACAGGTTATTTCGGAGTTCCAAACATCGCCCCCATTTCACCGAAATTTAACCGTTGAACATGAAATTGAGGAACCACGCCAGAGTCGGCTTCATCCGACCGGGAATCCGTGCATTTTCTCCTCCGTCCGATGCGGGAGCTTTGAGGGGTTGATCAAGCCTGCTCTTGTTGAGGCACCTAGACTGATATACCCTTCACAAACCAAAGACTGTCGTAGATCTTACTGCGCAAACTCAACGTGATGTGTCCAAGTCGAAAGACGTTTCGGCGACCGCATTTTGCGTCCCCTCCGTATCTGAAACTTGGTATCGCATTTTCAGACGTGTAAGGGTCATGTCTATCAGGCCTCCGGCTGTGCGCGCCCTCGAAATTTCAGGCAAGCTAATCTCAACCTGCAAGTTCCGTCGGATCCAATTCCTGACCTCTATGGCCATGAGAGAATCTATAGCAAGACTGGTTTTCGCTTCATCGTCCATGTCCTGCGCTCCTGGCAGACTCTTCGCAATCAACTGATTAAGTTCCTGGGTAATAGTCGTCTCGGTTTCTTTTTGTAGAAGGATCAAAGGATCTAGCTCCGCCTTGATGATCAGTTCTCGTATTTTATTAACACTGGAACCGCTCTCCTGTTTAACAGATATAGAATCAAGGTTTGTGTAGGATGCGAACCGAGCATCGCGACGCCACATGGTCTGTATATCGGGATTAGATAGCGACTTGTTGTTGCCGAGTCCAATGATCAATGGTGCCGAAAGTCGAGCGGCGGACTCTGTGCAATCAACTGTATTGGACTCCCCAATGCACTTTTTTAATCCTTCTAGAACTTCGTCCTCATTTAGCAGCCAGATACCAATTGATTGCATCGCTTGCATGACCTTCGCCTCCCGAGCGACCAGACCAGTCTCGCCTACAGCGCCGAGGGCAATGGCGGAGGATGGAAGGCCCAATCGTCGGCGATACTGTGTAAAACCATCAAGGAATGTGTTCGCAGCTGCATAATTGGCCTGGCTCCCATGTCCACAAATGCCTACTGCAGAACTGAACAGAACGAAGAAATCTAGATCCTCTTGTAACACTGAATTGTGAAGATTCCATGTCCCTTGAACCTTTGGGGACAACGAAGAGCTCCATTCTTCGTAGCTCATATGAGGGAATGGGCGGTCCTGATTAAGCGCAGTGTCAGTGAGTAGTCTTCTCGACTTTTGTAAATTATGGCACCGGTGCCTTACATTTAATGACATCGACATTTGGAAAACCCCTTTCAATGGGCTCTTGCATCTGGAAATCGCAGCCTGCACATCTTCAGTTCTTGTCACGCTCCCTTGAATGCATTCAACGTGGCACCCCATGGCGTTTAATTCTTGAATGAATTCGCTGTGCTCTTCGGTGGAGCCTGCGGTGCGAGAAAGGTAAACTAAATAACGTGCTCCTTGTTCTACCATCCATCTGGAAACTGCACGGCCCAAGCCTCCTAGGCCGCCTACTAGGAGATATGATGCAGTGGATGAAAACAATACTTCCACCTCACTAGGCCGCTGGGATAGCTGGCTCGCATCATCAGGCATCCTTATTAAAATCTTTCCTATGTGTGTGCCCTGCTGCATAAGTCGGAATGCCTCAATTGCCTCGCAGGCTGCAAACACTGTAGTCGGGCGAATTGGTTTAATTTTACCTTCGTCATGCCATAACATGAACTGGAAGAGAAGGCTGTAGACAGGTTAGCCCTGCTATCAGGGAACCGCTTCTCCTGGGGACTCGCCTGTTAATAGATTCTTCACTCAAATCAAGCAAATCAACGCCGAAAAATGCTCGGTTCTTTATGAATGGCTTCAAGCTCAATGTTCCATTGGCCAAGAAGTCGCGTTTACCCAACTCAATCATCCTACCAAATTTAGCAACGCACTCCCAGGAAGCATGTAATAGCTCTCCATATAATGAGTTTAATACAACGTCCACTCCACGTCCCTTTGTTGCCTTCATGACACACGGAAGAAAACTCGCACTTCTGGAATCAAAAATGTGATCTGGTGGTATCCCGTAAGTATTGATGAGGTGGTCTCTCTTCGCCTGGTTGCCGACTGTTACGTATATCTACTTTTGTTAGCCAGGTGACGCTTCTGATCGTTGTGCCCCCGATCTACCTTTTCCACTCCGAGGAGCTGACAAATTTGTATAGCTGCCTGGCCAACTCCACCGCAGGCAGAATGGATCAAAATAGTCTATCGAACAGTAAGCGAACGGCGAATAAACCGTGGGTATTGTTGCATACCTCGCTTTTTTTAAGTTGTCCTACGTTAATCAAAGAGTATATCGCTGTCGCAAATACTGATGCCATATTGACTGCATCCACTGTGGAGAGCCCTTTGGGCAATTTCAGACAGTGTTGTTGATTCACGATGATTCGGGTGCGCATAAGCCCAGAATCCAGTATCAGTATCTCATCTCCAGGCATTATATTGGCAACATTCGAACCAACACGTTGTACAATGCCACTCCCCTCCAGGCCCAGCTCACCTATGTCCCCAACGAATCCCATGGCTATCATGATATCCTATATGAAAGTTAGCGTGCAGGCTCTACCAATATGGCAAATTTGGGGTTTGGCAACCCTGAAATTTAAACCGATATACTCAATATCAACTTCAACATCATCTTGCCCAAGACTACCATAACTACTGTCAAGCCATTCCAAGGTATCAAGGAGGCCAGGGATACTCATGCTCAGCTTCTTGCCAGTGTCTGGTTTCGATGGGCGCAAAATATTTGCTGCTGCGCCCCAGTAGCACTGGCTAGTAAACACAGTGTTATTGTGATAGGCATACTCATAGTTTGGGTCTTGATTGTCTCTATTGGTAGGTTTCAAGATCTTTCGCACGATCGGACCCACTGCCTTCGCGGACTCCGTATCGAACACATCGATCTCGAGAGTGTAAAAGTCGAGCATCATTTCTTGCCTCAGGGTCCGCGCAAACCCTAGTACTAGGCCACAGTCCGGGTCTTTACAGTCGAATTGCGTCGTTTTTGTCACCCAAAGCAACTTGGACTGACCAACGCCCATCAAGTACTTTTGCAGGCAATGGTATCGCTTTTCAGACAGTTTCGCGAGAAAGGGATCCCGATGCTCTAACAAGAACACGACACACGCATGACCACTAGGTGCCTCTTCTAATTTCCCCCATTCCACAATGAAATTCTGCTTCTCGAGCTCTGAGAACACTTTGCCAGCCCAAAGATCCGGCGAGCCATCTGTCAACAGTACTATCGGTTGCGTGGCGGTCTCAACCGGAGCAGGACGAGTGATTATATCTACGCATAGGTGGTAAGTATCGGAATCATAGCGTATTGCCTCAGTTCCTGTGAACCCAGCGTATTGTAACTTCTTATCCCAGTCCTCTGGGCTGATATAGGGTCTATTTATTCTCCCGTCATCCTCACCTATCCACCATCCGGGAAGGGTGCCCTATACAGATTAACACTTGCTACTCATTAGACATCGTATTTACATATCTCACCATTATATAATCGACGTATGGCATCACTAGCTAGAATGTGAGTGGGTTATGTTCCTGTAGAGCTTCTCACGAAGTCATACCTGGAGCCAACTCATGAAGTAGCAACCAGCCGTGTGGAGCTAGCAAGCGTTTCACATTTTTGAGAGCCTGCTTCAGAACAGGGGTCGCGTGGAGCACCTGGACAAAGTCAGGAGGGGCATATTTTATTTTAGCCAAAGGAGACTAACATTTGATGCTATGATAAGGTCAAAGGATTGACCCACAAAGCTTTGCTTGAGAGGATCGCTACTAATGTCGAGAACCTTATACTCCATATTCACGTTTTCCCGGAACTTACCCTGGGCAGCTGTCATAAACCCGGGAGAGATATCGGTAAATGTATATTTGGAGTACATAGGCATCCCCGATACGCACAGCGAGCGTAAAGCTTCAGCTGTGGCGCTTCCGGTTCCAGCGCCAATCTCAAGAATTCGCAGCCATGGGTTTGAGTGACTGAGATAAGTTATAAAGATGCTCCAGTCGCTGTTTTCCTGGTCAAACTGGTATATACGACCAAGCCGGTTTTCCTCCATCAGTAGGTCTAGGGTAGAGATTTTGTTGGCCATGATCTCTAAGCAATTTTCATATATTACTTCAGTACAAGTGATTATAATATTATGCTCGCCAGGCTGGTCTGCCTGTGTAGTACTGAGTTTCTTTATAAGGGCCTGGCGCTCCTCACTTGATTGTGTCGCCCATGCCTTAGACTCGGGCAAAAGCGTATGTTCTCCATTTCGAACAGCAGCGTCTTCGTATAGTATCCAGGATTTCCACTTAGAAGCATGGGTAGATTGTGGTACCAGGGGTTTGATCCTTTCGGCTGTCTCAAGAATGTATAAAAGCGAGACTTGACCTAATTTCTTCATCTGATCCAGTCGCCCTAGTGATGTAGCTGCTCGTGGTAATAGATCTTCGGGTTTGCAGAGGTCAGGGTCCGGCTTCCATTGGATCCGTGCTACCAACGGAGTCTGCGGAGATATTGAGTCATTCTTGTTTCCCAGCGCGAAACACAAGCCTCGTTTCATCTTCAGCACCACCTTATCCCCAAGTATTGCCGTTGCATCACCGACCAAGCTGCTACCAGATTCTTGGACCGTATCAACCGTGGCTTCCATGTGGTTTTCTCCTTCCCCAATGAATATTTGATCGATGGAGGCCGGTATTGCTCCTGTGGCAATACGCCGTGGGAGGCCAGCAGCTCCAGCAACGCTCATTACTTGAAGGCACTGGTCGATCATGGTTGGGTGAAGGCTGTATCGACATGCAGGGGAGCCTGCCTTGTTATTGACTTTAGCCACAGCTCTGCTGCCCTTAGGATCAACTGAGATATCTTGTAGACCTCTGAACTGAGCTCCGTAAGAGAGGCCCAAGCTCGCTAGGGTATCGTACCACTTGCTGGAGGATACGCGACGTGCGTATGGCTTTATACTCACAGGAGAAATGTTTCCACAAGCTCCAGCTCGGACCTGACCGCTGCAGTTTTTTATCCAATTAGTACCGTCATACGATGCGATGGTAAATGAAAACCATTCTGAATCCGCCAAATCATTTAGTCGAGCTGGCCTCAAAGTTGTAATGACCTCCACGTTCTCAGATTCTTCTATCACCAATGGAGCCTTGAATATGGCGTTTCTGACAGTATAACTAACGACGCCAGGTGACAGCTGTAAAATAGCTTCGCCCACCATAGCGATATATGCCGCAGCTGGGAAAACCACTTTGCCTTGAATAATATGATCGGATAACCAGGGAATATTCTCTAGGCTTATAAATTGCCTCCATGCAGGCTCTAAGCTCGTGGACTCGGTACTCCTCGAGCCAAGCAGCTCATGAGGCGGCACCTCATTAAGTCTCCATTCCCGTACCATACGGCTTTCTTTCCAGTATCTCGTACCATGTTGCCATGGGTATGGTAAGATGTCAGTCAGAACATGCCCGGTTCCATTCACCGCAAGTAAATCTACAAAGGCCCCGTTTCTATGAATACTACCAACCGAAGTTAATAGCTGATGCTGGCAGTTGGCATCGTTGCGAAATAAAGTTGGTATATATGCAGGACATATTTTCAAGTCATAGGCTCGGATAATCTGCTGTATGGGTGCTGATAAGGCGCAGTGCGGTCCTATCTCAACCAGGATATGTTTTTTATGCCTCTCAGCAAATAGGGAACTGATAGCATCTGAGAAAAGAACGGTAGATTCGAGGTTCCGTCGCCAGTAGGCAGCATTCAAGGTTTGAGGGTCTGTGATCATCCTCACATCAACACTTGAGAACATAGGCAGCATCTGCTGATGGAGCTGGAGGTGATTTGATATAGACTTCTCATAAATGGGTCCCACGGCCGCCATGTAATCTGTTGCCATGTAAGAAATCTTACTCGCATTGGCGAAAGAAAAGACTTACGTGAATGATATGCCATGTCCAATTGGAGCTTTCTGCAGAACGTATCCGGGAGATCATTCTGGATGTTTCTCACCATCTGATCTATTTGACCTTGTTCCCCAGAAATTGTGACACTCTGCGGGCTATTTTTGCATGCAATTACAACTCCATCAACAAGATACGGAGACACCTCGTCACTGCCAAGTCCAATGCTTGCCATACCGCCGGTGCCTTTCTGAGCCTGTGCTAGCTTTCCGCGATAGTATGCAAGGATGATCGCAGACCTAGCTGATATTGCACCAGCCGCATAAGCCGCTGCTATCTCTCCGCTAGAATGGCCAACCACAGAGGCTGGCCTTATGCCCCACGCCGCAAGCAGGTTAACCACGCCAATTTGTACCGCGGTACATAGTGGTTGGCAGAATTCAGCTTCGTTAATGCGTGACGCTGTGGCACAGCTAAGCTCCTCTATATGACAATTTTAGTGGGATATGCTTATGGCTCTAAGCTGGAGATGACATCTTACCCATCAGGGACCATTGGGGTGGGTCTTCAATACTCCTTAGGACGTTTTCTAGCTCTAGTATGTCCATTTTAAAACATTGATATGCCTTGATCAATCCTTGGCCCATACCAGGCCACTGAGCTCCCTGGCCTGTAAATACAAATGTTAACTGAGCCGATACGTGTGGATGAGCAGACTGAAAATCAGAAGGTGAGAGGGGAGATGTTGGATCATAAACAGCAAACGCGCGGTGTGCTAAATGTTTTCGCCGTACACCCAAGGTGAATGAAAGGTCTTGGCTCCTTTCGGGATGGCGATTCGCATAATCTGTTACCTGATCGATGCGAGCCTTTAGACTTTTCGCATCTTGGGCCGAAATAACAAGAAGTTTGACATCATTTTCGGGGCCAATACAACCCTGTGCCGGGTCTTTTGCGCATACATCGTGCGCAGAGTCCAGGATAACATGGGCATTGGTGCCACCGATGCCGAAGGCATTCACGCTGACCCTTCTTCGACGCCGGCCGGCCAGTTCATAGGCTCTACTGGGACCACCAAGCCACTGTCTTTGAAAGATATTTCTTGGTTAGCTTTCTCGAAATGTGCATTCGGCGGGATAATTCCATGTTCCAAGGACAGTACAGCTTTAATCACGCTTGTGATTCCCGATGCACCTTCTGAATGTCCAAAATTAGGTTTTACCTTCAGGTCAGTCAGCATCCTGAACAATGTTAGTATACTATCCACGTACTGCTCCTATCACAATCTCCTGTCCCTCAAACACGTTGGCCACTGCTGTTGTCTCAACTTGATCCCCCGCGCGTGTGCCCGTTCCATGGCATTCGACAAAGGCAGTTTCTGATAGGTCATTGATATTTCCTCTCCGATAAGCATCCAAGATCAGGTGTTCCTGGGCTATTATTGAGGGAACGGCAATACTTGATGTTCCTCCGTCAGAATTAGCCGCAGTTGAGCGAATTATCGCTCTGATTGCATCATTTGCCTTGATTGCGTCCCCAAGCGGCTTCAGATAAAGGGCATTTATTGCCTCGCCACGTCCATAGCCGTCAGCTTCTGCATCAAATGTCCGACATACGCCACTAGTTGACAGCACCATGTTACCAGACATACTTGTCGTCATTGATGGACTGAGGATCAGATTTGTACCAGCAACAATGGCTGATGAACATGCTCCGGTAGCCAACGACTGGCATGCTTCATGGATTCCAACCATTGACGATGAACACCCTGTCTGGATAGTCATACTATAGATGATGTTAGCCTGGATATTTTTCGTGCTTGATTCCGGTTAATGGTAGATTTAACGTACCTTGGGCCGCGCAAATCAAACTTATATGAAACTGTATTAGCCAAGGCATAGCTTCCTGTGCTTATTGCATGAGATCTATCAATACTGAGTGGATCTCCATGAGAGAGACCTAGCCAGTCTTCCCCGAATACACCGACATAGCAGCCAATATTTTTACCTTCCCAATTTGTTTCCCCTGCATTCTCAAGACACTCCCATACCACCTCTAAGAGCAATCGCTGCTGTGGATCCATAGTAGATGCATCCTGCTCAGTCACCGAGAAAAACGGCGCGTCGAAGTAGGCCGGGTCTTCAGGCAGAAAGTAACCATGTCTTGTATGGGTGTAACGTTCGTCGTGTGCGTTGTAGAAACCATCTATCCCATATCTCATCTTGGGAACCTCGCAGTGTCCATCCCTTTTGTTTATCAAAAACTGCCAGAAGTCTTCGGTTGTCCGAACACCGCCGGGGAGTCTCATTGCCATACCAACTATCGCAACAAGGGGAGATGCGCCCGGACGACCATCAGGAATCAGCGCGGCCAGTTCATCATGTTGAAGACTCTTGGGTTGCATTATATCTTGACAAAAGGACTGATCCTTTGAAGGGATTGAGTGCTGAACCTAGCGTTTCGGATCAGCTATTGTCAAATAGGTTCACAACGTTCGCCTTGTTCTGATTCCCTATAATTCCAGGATCTGCTGCTGCTAATGTTAGGCCCATTCCTGCCAGCACTTGCCGAATTGCGGGCAAAGTTGGTAATTAGAATACGGAGAATTTCTGGATCAGCTTTGGTGGCGACATCGGCAGCGTAGGACAAAACATCGAATTGCTCCCCTCAGTGACAGTAAGAGTGGAAATTCACCGTATATCCACCACCCATTTCGTATGTATGTACATACCAAGAGGGGCAGGCATCTTTAAATTAGTAAAACTGCTCATACGCTATACCCACTCACTCAGAGACTTATCCAGAGAATAACAACTGAAGACCCATGCTTTGTAGGACACGTATTTGCCTTTATTAATCAAAGGCGGATCTTCGACGAAGATAAGTTTGATTCACTTGGCATGTGACCTTACAGATCACGTTCCGGGGTGCCTCTGGATGGCCTGAGGAGACCACTGAGAGATGCAACCTAATAATGCCCTTTTCCTTAGCTAGGGTGCTGTGCATCTCTTAAACGCCCCTGGGAGGCTACTCTTAAAGGGGCCCTATACGTGGTTCAACCCTGATAAAGTGCTTCCTTTGCAATTTCCCCCGGTAGCATTCGGGTAATTTTCCACATAAATATTTGAATCCATCGTTGAATCGTGAATTGCTGTACTACAAACCGCTCTGTAGTCTTCTGTGCGCTCCATAGGATCTTTCATTGTGTTGGTAATTTGCTCAGTGTTGTACATGTATATAGAAAGACTTCAATGTGAAGGGAACCAGGCGATTCCTTCATTGGATGTATCACCCCGGTGAAAGCGAACCAGGGGCATCTGGGTTTTCTACGAGACTGGCCATGCATGGAACTCATGTAAGAGGCCCGGTCTATGTAACCTAGCCCTGGTAACAGCTAAATCGCCCAAGCAAATATACGAATAACACTATGTCTGTTCATGGTACAATCAATGCTTTTGCCAAATATATGTATACTATCCCGATAGATCCTGAGTCATATTACAAACTATACAGTGGTGTTGGACCGATCTTCTTCGTCACCGGCCTTCTGCCAGGTCTCACGGCTTTCGGCCTGCTCCTGTTCATCTTGCCCCAGAACCTCGTTTTCATGCTTAATTGCTTCTTCCTCCGCCCCAGCGGGGGCTGCAGCCGGAGTGTTATCAGCGTCTGTTGTCTCAACAACGGGAGTCGCCGAAGCGGGTGTGTCGGCATTTGCGCGCTTCTGAGTGATGTTAACAAGCGGGGTATCATCGTTGAAGATACGAAGAAGCATAGCGCGACGCTCCTCCTTGGGAAGCATGAGGTTAACGGAATGCAGGGAGCGCCACAGGGGAAGGACCATTCGCTCGCTAGTAAACAGTTAGCTGATTTTGGTTCAAATGCAACACAGTAGACCCAGCCAAACATACCTGAAGCCAGTCTCAGAAGTATCAGGCTCAATGTGCAGGACACTACAGCCCATTGGGATATCCCTCACGCGCTCTCCAATTTCTCCAAGCTCCTTCCATCCCTCATCATCAACCTTGGGGAACATCTCTACGAGAAGTCTCCGCAAAGTCTCCTTCCGCTTGAGGGTGACCGCTCTACCGGGGCCCAGCCATGGCTCAAGGACTCTCAAGCCATCGGTCTGGATACGCCAAGGGCAAACACCCGGGCGCTGCACGTCCTGCTTCACAAACATCTTAACACCACAGTGGACAATCTTCATGCCCTGTCCCTCATTTGCAGTCAAGATGTCACGCGCCAGAGCACTAGTGTAGTAAATAGTTCTGGTAGGGATGGCCTGTGCGTTACGGACCATGAATCGATCTCTGGGGAACCGGTCTGATCCTTCATAAAATTCGAAAATTGGTGGGAGCTCCTCATGCTTAGGGTCCAGGTACTTGAAAGGTTCTTCAATCGGCTGGCCCGGTTTCCGTTTCTGAGGGGGTAGGGCCTGCACTCCACTGGTTGCTTGTTTGCTCGCTTCAAGAGGTGCAGGCGTGGAAGTAGCATCGGATGTATCCATAGTATCAGGCTCAATCACAGGAGCCGGCTGGTGAACAGGCCGATCACCCACAATTACTTCAGAGCCATCATCGAGTTTGGTCCTCTTGGAAGGGACTTCATCTTCCATGCTCTCTGCATCCCTCTTCGCAGGGGACATCTGGTTGGTGGCAGAGTAAGGAGGCTGGTGGGTAGCCTCTGCAACAGTAGCGTTCCTCTGGGCCTCCTCTGCAGCATTCTCATTCGGGGTAACCATATCATCCAACGCATCGATCTTCTCCAATGGTTGGCCATTGCCATTCTTCTGCTTGAATTCAAGCTCTTCAGTGAGTGCGGCAACGGTTCCCTTGGGAATGACCTTCGAAGAGTCTTCTGGCTTGGCGCGAATCTCCGACTTCTTCTCCAGAACAGTGATGAAGAATCCACCAGTGTCCTGAAGGTGGGGGTAGATACGAATACACCTTTCGAGAGGTAGGTCTGCGTTCTCACCACTGGGAGGGAACATGCCTGCAGCAACTCTACCAAGACCGCTGATGCCTTGGCTTGCACGATGCTCCTCAATTTCCTCCCAGGTGTTCCACATCCTTGTATCGCGATCCATAACCTTCCATGACTTTAAGCCGGGAACTCGCTTCAAACCCGGCAACTCATTGCTGCAATCGACAATCTGCACATTGGCGGCACCACCGCAGCGCTCAATAGCGCTGGCAACCACAGCCTCGTTCTCAACAGGGTTCATACTGCAAGTAGAGTACACAACACGTCCACCGACCTTCAGCATTTGCAAGGCGCGCACAAGGATGCGAACCTGCGTAGCGTAGAGTCCCAAAGCGTTGCCTGGGGTCCACTCCTTCCAAACACCGATATTCTTCCGGGGAGTTCCATCACCAGTACATGGTACGTCCGCGAGGATACGGTCGAACTTAAGGTATTTGTTCTGAACCTTTCCATTGGGTCCGGGAGGAGAGGGAAGTTTAATCGAGGGGTACATAGTAGCATCATGGTTTGTGACGATCAAGTTTGGGGAGCTGAGTCGCTTCATCTGATGGATAAGCATGTGCGCGCGCTTGTAGTCGGTGTCGTTAGCGATGAGAAGACCGGTGGTTCTACCATCGTCGTTGAGGCCCTCAGGTCCCAGAGGCTCGGGGCCAGCGGTTCCCTCCTTCACTTGTTTGGAAGCCTGAAGCATTGAGTCTTCCTCTCCAGCGTGGATCATCTCCATAAGCTGTGCAGACTTGCTACCCGGAGCGGCGCACATGTCCAACACAGTCATACCAGGTCTCACATCAAGCAAAAGCGGAGGAATCATGCTAACAACCTCCTGTCGGCTAATGCTTCCAACCGCAGTCTCGGCGACGAGGAACTTCTGGAAATTGGCGAACGGAGCGAAACGGCGAACGACTTGCTTCGGGGTGGTCATCGACCACGCGAGCTGGTCAGGGTACCAGGAGACCGGGCTCGGTGGCTCAACGAAGTTGCCTCATACTTAATTGACGTGATTTCGGGGATATAGAATTCCTTGAGGCGCTCCTGGACCGCGAGAGCATGTCTTTAGGCCACAGATTAGTATCTTAACCGTTTTGGTAATTTGCGCATCATGCGCGGAGAAAATCTACCGATAACGTACCCTCGTGATCCTGTGAATCGGAAACTGTTGGGGAGATCTCTCCGCAGGTACTCCCAGAATACCTCCTTTTCTTCCTCGGGAATAAACCCTTGTTCGTTATAGAAGCGTTCAAACTTCTCGTTCGTCTTGGGAATGTCGTTCCAGTTTTGGCGCTGCCCGCCACCACGGCCGCCTTGACCCTGCATCACATAGTGTAAGTTACTGTAAAATTGAGAATGCAAGATCTCAAGTAATAGAACAATTGGACTGAATTGGGCCTCTCACCTTCCTTCCGCGCTTACCCATGGTGCAGAGAGGAAATATTTTTTGGAGCAGATAAAGTTACAGGGAATTTCTCCGCTGCGGAACGATCATCGCAAATGCTTGGTTTCGGAAGCTCCAGAAAACATCCCACTCCGGATTATCCCTCGGTCCGGGTTAGATAATCGTGCTCTACGATTTGGGTTAGCCTGCCTGCTGATATCAAAAGCCCTATTTCATTGCCAACTTAGGTCATAGATGCAACAATGCAATAATTGAATAATCAAGTTGAGGCATAACTTCTTACATAGGTTCTATTATATGGATTTTACCCAACTAGCATTTATTTGTTTACTCTTTTTGGGCTCTCAAAATCGTGCATCCATTTTCCGTAGGTTTAATAAGACATCCAAAAGCCAAATAGGAAGGCGAATGTCTGCCCGCGCAATTCTTACAACACAGACCTTAGTTTACAAACTAAAAAGTGAAGCTTCCAGGTCTCCGTATACCACCAGAAATTCAATGCAAATAGCCTTATTTAAACCAGGCAACAAGACTTATTTGCCTTTGCACAACTTGCCAGTATCCAAGTCATACTGCCACTTGTCACTTCCCACACCGGAGAGGACGAACAGGCTTTCACTGGGGTCATATTTAGCCTTGATCTCCGCCAGATGATCATAGTTCAAGCCATAGAAGTCCTGCTTGAAATTGCTGGTGAACGGGTTGGCCTCGTTCATGTAGGCACCCGAGTCAGGCGACCACTCTCTCCACATCTTCTCCTTAACCTCGTTGAAGCGAGCCGCATTTTCCAGTGCTTTCTTTGGCGATCCTGCAGCGATAGGGTCAACGGTAGCACCGTTGGAAATAAAATGCAGATATGCGGAGCGCCAGGCTGGAAGCAATGCGCCCCATTCCCCCTGCGGCGTATTGTGCACCCCAGGGCCGCCTTGCAGACCGATTGTTGCGTATGTTCCGGCAGTTTCATTCTGAGCGCGCATTGCTGTCTTGAGATAGGCACGTCTTTTGTGCCTCGGCGTGTCAAGCAGCTC